TGTGGCCCGGAACCATCAACCTTTTCGCCGGGATTGCGCAGTCTGCGTAAGGAACAGTGCAGCAGGACACCAACATCGCTCAACGCTTCACCCGATGGCCTACAGCTTGAGCGTGGATGTGGTTGGACCTTTGAAAGGACATGGCCGCTCGCCTGATGGAAAGTTCTTTAAGTACTTTGTGATCGGTGCTATGCGTATTCCACAGGTTGAAGGAGCCGAAGGTCATCCAGAAGTACGGGGCCATCCTCTACCTCCTGGTCACTCGGAAGAGGAGGAGATTATCCTGTCGGACGATGAGGATGGTGACTTTGGCGGTGGTGTTGGTGAAATCTCGGGCGTGGATCCTGATGAAGAAGAGAACGAGAAGAAAGCCTGGGAGGAGTTAAAAAAGACAATTCAAGAACCTATCCCGACTACCACGCTGTACTTTGCGGTTCCGGTGAACAACAAGAAGGCCGCCACGATGTTGCCTGCGGTCCAGAAGATCATCACTGAAGTGAAGGCGCTTGGATATCCAGTTACGAGACTGCACTCTGATAGAGGTGGCGAGTTTCGGGGCCATTTGGTTCGGAGGTGGGCTTTGTCTCAGGGGATATGGCCTACAACGACTTCGGGGTCGGATTCGGCCGCAAATGGTGTTGCAGAAGCTGGAGTGCGCTATCTTAAACGAAGGGCACGGATTCTTTTGGACAGCTCTGGCGTGACGAGGGAGAATTGGCCTACGGCGGTACAGTATGCGGCGGCGCAGCAGAGGTGTGATCAACTTGGCGTTCTTGCACCTATGCCGGTGGCTTATGGGGCCAAGGTTTACGTGAAGACCAAGCGTTACAAGACGGGTGCCGTTGAGGACTTTGGACCTCACTGGACCCAAGGCCGTTATGTGGGCCCGTCGTCAGACATCAGGGGTGGACATGTGATCTTGAAGGCCACGGGGGAACCTTCATTCAAACTACCCATGTGCGAGTTGCACGTGACCCTCCGTCTCTGGAGGAAGTGACGCCTACAATCATTGTTGAACCTGAGGCGCATGAAGATGGCAGTGGAGAACCGCCGTTGCCTCCCCCCGCTGGGGCACCACCACCGAGGAGAATGCGATCCAAGGCGCCTATGGCGTCTAAGGTGGATGGATTTTATCCTGATGTCGAGGACATGGATGAAGTGACTGGGGACATCAATAGAGACTTTGGTGGGCTTCCTCAAGTCAAGTATCTCCGAGTGGGAGAGGTTCAGTATGTGGAAGCTGTAGCCGAGCAGCTGTACAAGGAGGAGAAGTTTGACGAACCGAGTTGCGCTCGTTTGTTGGCTTTGGTAGCTGGCACTTGTGGGAATCTGAAGGTTCCTCGATCTCCTGGCGGAGAGGGCATGATTGTGGGGGCCTATGTGCACGCAGGCTCCTTTGGCATCACCCGTTATGGTCGTGACCTTCCTTGGATGGGCCGCTACTTCAATGCCTATATGAAGTTCAAGATACAAAAGTGTTGGCCGGGGATGCAATGTTCATGGACCACCTTTGCCCTGCAAGCTGCCAAGGAGATCCCTCGTCATAAAGACAGTCATAATGAGAAGGGCACCTACAACTACGTGATGGAGTTGAACACCGATTCAGTGGAGGGTCTATGGGTGCAAGATCGAGGTGATGAACGAATGGTGGTTGGGGGCACTAACCCCCAGGATCATCAGTGTGAAGGACGTGATGGCCAGCTGTATGATGGTTGCTTGGTCAGTGTGAAAGAGAGGCCAGCGGTGTTTGATCCAATGGTTCATCATGGGTACGTCAATGAGGGCGGCTTGAAGTGGTTCTTGTCTGCCTATACCCCTCAAGGTGCATACAAGTTGCAGAGGCAAGATCTGGATTACTTGAAAGGATTGAACTTTCCGGTGTGTGATCCAGAAGTTGGGGTTCAGTCCGCCAACGGGGCGTGGGAAACCAGACCTACGCTAAGGGCGACTTCCTTGCCGTCAGAGGTGCCGTGTTGTGGAACTCATGGACATGATGATGAGGTGGAGGTTGTCACCGTTGGAGATTGTGAAACTACGTTGTGGGATTGGGCGTTGTACGCAGAATGTGTTTCGGGTGAAGATGAAAAAGGGAAGTGCCTGAGAAAGTTGTGTGCCTCTGATGACCCGGGACCTGCGCTGCAATCTCTTACTGTAGCCCAGAATGCCCTCGATGAGGAGGAGATCGATGTGGGTTTGAGAGAAGACCTTGCTCAGAATGTTGAGCACTGGGCCTCGTTGGGTTTGTATGATCACCCAAGGCTGGCGAAGTTGGAGCCAGAGTATGTGGAGAACGTGGAGGAGATTATCAAGAAGGCCGTGAATGAGAAGATCCCTATCAGACACACCTACAATGTAAGCCCTCAAGAGGCACGAGGAGTGATCGAAAAGTGGCGACCTGCCATTACGAAAGAAGTAGGTGTTGTTGAGAAAGGGTTCGCTCGGATCACTGACAGTGAGGTTGCAAAGCTTCGTGCGGAGGGCTATGTGATCCAGGAGTTGCCGTCCAAGCTTGTGTACACCGTGAAACCACCTCCAAGTGATGCCCCCGCTGGAGTGGTGTGCTGCGGTAACTACGCACCTGATGACCAAGCCGATGTGTTTGCCTCAGGCGCCGCTGCTGAGAGCCTACGGTCAAACCTCACCTACAGTGCTCGCCGAAAGTGGCGGTCCGGGATTGTGGACGTTACCGGAGCGTTCATGTTGACCCCGCTTCCACAAGGTCACGGTCAAGTTATCTACATTGTGCGACCTCCAGCTGCGTTGGTGCAGCTGGGCTTAGCCCAGCCTAATGAACGGTGGCGTTTGACTCATGGAATGTACGGTCTCCGACAATCCCCTAAGCTTTGGGCAGGCTACCGAGATGGTTTGTTGGAGAAACTTGAAGTCAATGCTGAGGGCTGTGTATGGGCTATGAAGCGGGGCACTGCAGAAACCAATTTGTGGACGATCTACGAGGTCGGCAAACCGTCCAATGGGGAGCCCGGTGGCACGATTCTGCTGTATGTGGATGATATGCTCCTGTCCGGTCCGTTGAGCTTGGTGACAGCGGTGGCAGAGGGTGTTGCAAAAATGTGGAAGACTTCAGAGCTTGAGGTTTTAGCACCGGGTCGTGATATACGGTTTCTTGGGTGTGAGATTGGCACAAATGACGAGATGGACACGATTTACATCCACCAGCGGCCCTACATCGAGGAGATTCTCAGAAGTCACAATGTATCGCCCACTGAGCAGTCTCCTATTCAGGCCCCACGGGAGATGGTGACGTTTGAAGCCTTCGAAAATGAGGACAAGGGCACAGAAGATCAAGTTAAACAGGCTCAACGCCTGTGTGGCGAGCTTCTTTGGCTGGCACAGCGTTCACGTCCAGACTTGAGCTTTGTTGTCAGTGCTATGGGAAGTCTTCTCACACGAGCTGCTCCACGTTGCCTACAGATTGGTCGGAGGTTGTTGTCGTACCTTCAGAGGTCAAAAGGGTTGACTTTGACTTTGAGGCCGCAAGGAACGGAGTTTGTTGCGTTCTCAGACAGCAGCTTTGCCCCGGAAGGGGGCAAGAGCCATTCCGGCATTTTGCTTACGTGGATGAGCGCCCCGATTAGTTGGCGCGCGGCCAGGCAACCATTTGTTTGCCTTTCTACAGCAGAATGCGAATTGGTGGCATCGATAGAAGCCCTTACCATGGCGAAATCTTTGCAAGCAGTTCTTTGTCAACTAGATTCCTCTCTAGACAAGATCGTGCTGGGAGTGGACAATCAGGCGGCGATTGCATTGGCTACTCCTTCATCCAATGTGTCGTGGAGGACGAGGCATTTGCGAGTTAGAGCTGCGTATGTGCATGAACAGATTGAAAGTGATCAAGTTTGCATCAGGTTTATACCTGGAAAGGACCAGAAGGCAGACCTGCTTACCAAGAGCTTTCCTCGGCAGCGCTTGCAGGAACTGGTAACGTTGTGGGGATTTGTTGATTTGATCCACGAGGTTGCCAAGTTGGCCATGATGAAAGCTATGCTGTTCTGTATGATGGTTCAAACCACCCGGGCTTCTTCTTTGGAACCGTTGCAGCTTGATACTTCCTTTGAGCTCTGCGGGGATTGCACTGGTTGCTCTATGGGAAGCGGTGTGGTGGTGTTGGTGCAAATGCTGTGGGAATCCAGAAAGCTCACGCTCAGGGCGACGTTTGCGTCATCTACAAGAGACAGTACAACGGGAGTTAGCAGCTCAGATGGCTGAAATCGAGCTCCCTACTGAGCCTTTGGGTGGATCGAGATCTACGGCATCCTCCAGTGTGAGTTCGTCTTTGTCATCCACGATTGGTCGTGGACGGAGAACGACGAGACGGATGAGCATCGAGACTGGAACACAAACCGACCCTCTACCACCACCACCGCCTCCCGTTGGTGTTAGAGAGATTTTGGTTCCTCAATGGCATCCAGGTCCAATATATGTTTCTGGAAACGGGGACCATTTCCACACAGTATGCAACTGTTGGGGATTGCGCAATGTTAACAAGCCAAGAAAGCTGATGTTCTGTAATTTGTGCCAGAATCATAGTGGACAGTCAATGTACTAAGATGCCTGACTTGTATTCGAAAAGATGTGGTCATTCTCTTCGAAGTAAGAGATGACCAAGGAGGAGTGTTGAAACCCTCACAGTCAGGCATGTCCACGAGCGCATGTGATCATGAGGCACTTGTTCTGTGCATGTGGAAGCCTAGAAGGCACAAGCAGTTGAACGTTGGCCAGAGTGGCCGCGCAGCATCCGCATGTCGGCAGTACAGGGTTAGTGCAAAGCACGACTAAGCAGGCATGCATTGCTAGCACTTCAGATCAACGTTGCAGTCGCGGAAAACAATTCGGAAGTTGGGCCTTCGCAGTGTGCCATGGCAAGCATTAACGGGATCCAAGAAGGGACCTCTGCTCCTTTGTTTCAGCGCCTAAACCCTCAACCCTAAACCTGTAGAAAACGCGTCCAATGCAGAGCCGCAGCTCCCTGTTGATGCCAGGCTGGACAAGAAGCGCGAGCGCCAAATCGCTGATCTCTACAAGCTCCGTCGGAAGTCAGTGGCTGCTCGTCTTCTCTGTGTTCTTAAAATACCATCAGTGTATGATTCACGCAGGATATGGATAGGATAGCGTTTGACCAGGGCTTTGTAGGTTTCCTTAGGAATCACATTGATTGAGTCGGCTGTGAATGAGCCTTGCAAGTCGTGCAGCTCTAGCTGGTGTACCCAGCCTCACGGACAGCCAACGGTTCGTTGCACGACCCCGCATAGTAGTTGGTCTTCTTTGGTCCGAGCATGTGCCACTTAGTTCTACACTGACTGCTGGTATTTTTTCAAGCAGCCGCTGAATTCCAAACCCGGACCCCCCATCGAAGCCTCCTTGAGCAATAATTACACCATAAATTCGTTGAGACCTCTTCAACCCTGCAGCTGGTGAGGCCGACGCCGGAGTGGTCCTCCACTTCTTCCGAGGCCCAGAAAGCTTCGAGTTACGGTTTGCTTTGCTAGGCTGTTCTCTCGTCCTTAAAAGTTGGGGTCCAGGTCACTTTGTGGCTTCAGGTTGTAGAATTCTGCTCTGCGCGAGAGGCCTGGAAGAGCCTGCAAAGCCGAGAGAGACTGCCGTGGAAGCTGAATAAGATGTGCCCTCCACCGGAACCAATAAAACTTCAACCTGGTGATGGTGCTGTTGGCTGGCAAGTAGTGTCAGAAGATGTAGGCAGCTTTAGTGGCCAAAAAACATCATTGTTGCGACTGTCGCGGGAACTTCAATCAAAATTCGATGTAAACCTTGTCCCTACAGGCACACTCGTTTTGCACGAAAGCACAAACTGCATCCGTGCATGGGTCCGTCAGGGTCTTCAAGGCACCTTACACCCCAAGCTTACAGGGCCACGGCCTTTAACCACGGGCTTGTTCAGGAACCTCAACCCCAGATCCCATCATGTAGATCGCAAGGAACCCCCTAGGAAAGGCCATATGTAGCAGCAGCTTTACCAAAGTAAGCACTCCTCGATCCTCATCAAAGCGGCGGTCTCATGCCAACGCAGCAATCGGACATGTCCCGGACTCCAGAGCTCAGGCAAGCCTTCTACTACAGAGGCCCCGACAATTGGTAAGAGTATCACCTCAAAAAAGAAATATTCTACATATTAAGACGTGATAAAAGCCGCAATATGGTAGTTTCCGATCCTTATAAGGACCCTCCCAGATGAGGTACCCCTAGTTTTAGGTCACTCCCACATGAGCCAGGGCAGAGAGAGAACCAGCTCATCCTTTCCCTGGTGCTGGTCATCTGGTCGGAGGCCCTCGGCCCCATAAGCGCAACGAGCCCTTATCCCAGAGCAGACGGTAGTGATCGGAGCCCGCAGCCTCGCAAGTTCTGCTTTGGGAAAAGGCGCTGCAGGAACCCCTAACTACTCAGACCCCAAAAGGGAAACGGGGCTCCGACTGGGGACGAGCATGCTCCTTGCCTTGCCGCTTTTTGGAAGGGTAGTCGGGTTTCCTGGTTCTCCTCTTGTCTATGAATGGGTGCACCCTGTTTCCCCATAGCCCCTCAACATCCATCCTAGACCCTAATCAAATCTCTTGCAGCTCTGCCTTCCGGGTATTGTGAAGCCTAAACACGGCTTGCATTGGACTCTTTCGCGAGCCCGAGACCCAGACATGCCCCTCCACCTGCGTGGAGTAGTGTGCAGGGAAGATCCTCTAGTTTCCGGCAGGTGATTTCCGATCAAATGGCCATGCGGCGCTGGAATGAGCAGCGGGAAGTGAAGCTTGAGGCCCTGGCTTCCGGTTTGATTTACTTCTGTTTTATAAGTTGTCGGCTGAGGGGGTTGTTGGGGATGTGCGGGTTAGGTCCCGTTTTAGGGCTTCGCGACCTTCAGTCGTTTTTCAACGCTTGCGGGCTTTGGCGGGCCCCGTGACGGGATCTTCCGGTATATCTGGTTTCGGAAATCTGAAAGCTCTTCCTTATAAAAACCCAACAGAGCAGCTAATGGAAGCCTTAAAAAGAGGCCTTGAAGGTGTGTACGGGCCTTTGGCTTTATAACTTATAGGTACGATTCTTGCGGAGCTTGGGGGTTGAGGATTCTATGGAGAATGAAGGAGGCTGTAACTTAAGACTTCGCCCTGGTCCCCAAGCCCTAAACCTGAACCCCAAACCCTAAAACCACACCAGAGTCCTGAACCCTATAAACCCTAAACCTGAACCCCAAACCCTCAGACCCCTCCACAGAAGCGTGGAACCCTGCAGACACCATGGCATGAGCTGCCAGTTGGAGCGTTCCCTCCAAGAGCTCAAGGACAAGACCTGGCATCTCAGGATCGACACGAAGAAGGGCAAGGACCTGAAAGTGTAGAATCTCAGGGAGTTTGAGAGGATCTTCTAGGACCGCTTATTCTCCATATTGTTCGTGGTCCTTCTTAGTGCTGTTGTAACTCTTCGGGCAATATTTGCTCTAGCGAAAAGAGTACCCCTATTTTCGAGGTATTTACTCGGAACCGAGATCTTGGATGTTCGGCCACACTTTGAGCCCAGCTTCAGCCACTGCGAAATAGAATCAGTAGTCCCCCATGGTCCGCAGTGTACCCTATGTTCATCTATGTTCCATGCTTGTGCGAGGTTGTCTAGGCAGCCCCAGAGAGATTTTGGTTTTCTAGGACCGCAAGACTCTTCCGTAATCCCGAAATCCGCAACGCGTAGACCGGAAGCCACTTGTTGCTCTGTCTGTGGTTGTTGTGGCGCATGGTTTCAGGATCTCGGTTTGGCTTTCTCAGATATGGAAGTCCTTCTTCGGCTTCTGGGCTTTAGCACCTTATGGTTTTTCGGCCAGTGAAGGACCTTACCGACACCTGTCGCCACATGGGAGAGTGGCCGCTTTGCAGCAAAGATGTCTGCTTTCGTCATTGCCGCTTGAGAGCTTGGGAACAACAAAAAAAGAACAGCCCCGCTTACAATCTTCACTTTGGGGGCCCTAGTTAGTAGAGGCATGGGGATGCTTGGGCAAGCGTAAAACGGACCTTCGACCGTGTTTCGACTTGAGATCTTAGGGCTTTCTGCAAGTGACGGCTCGCACGTGCCTACTATTGCAATAGTTGAAGTCGTTGATAGCAGACTGGGTAATTCAGTCTGACCCTTCCTACACCCAACTCAATCTTATCGGAATCAGTTAGTGGGTACCATGACATGGCTAGCACTGCGGCTATCATTGCCCGCACGAAGCTGTAGCTTCGGATGTGAGGCTTTCTCGAAAACTATGAGGCTTACAACGCCGGAAGGTTAAACCGGTAACTTCGAAGCCAGAAAGTGCGAACACGGTCGCCTCCCACTACCGAAACTGTACAACTCTTCGACTCTTAGGACCGGCCAGCTGCTGATGGCGGGGGGCCCCGGGCATGGCGGGAACTCTGGGTGCCTTGGGGGGTCTGAGTGGTTCGCTAGGGGTTTGGGGGATGTTGCAGGATTGTTGCAGGTTTCAGGCTTCTTCTTGAAATGTAGGTTTTGGGGATCAGGATGTGGATTGATTGAACTGGAGCTTGTAGAGGACGGTGATGTGACGAGGCTTCAACTACGGAGCGCCGGCCTCTTTCGTCGAATTTTCATTTTGGCCTGAGGGTTTTCGGGCTTGGGGTGTGAGGTAGGGTTTTGGCACGTCCTATACCCGAAGGCCGGGCACAGTCGAGGTTTTTCAAGCTCGCAAATGGTTCATGGTGAACCAAGCCCTAAACCGTAAAACTCAAAGCCCTACACACCCTCAACCTTGAATCTTCTGCAGCGCGCGGCTTCGTAGATTCTTTCCCCTTCGCAGGAGCTCAGCACGACCCGCGCTTGGGGCAGCCAGAAGCTGAGCATCAATGGCTTTCTTGGTGAAGTTTGCGGCTTCGGTTGTTCTAGGGGTTTGGGTGCGGATACCGGGTGCTGAGCTTTACCGCCGAGGTTTGCTTTTGGGCACATGTGGAGAAGTTTTTTGTGGCTGCGCCTTTCGGCAGTTGGCCTTTCTTGATGAAAGCTGTGAGGAGACGAAATCTGCAGGAAAGGGTTCCAGAAGCGTCCAAACTGTGCAGTGAAGTCTCAATGTTTACAAGATTTAAACCCGAAGCCTTAGTGCAGCCTGCCTAAACCCGCGAAAGACCACAGCCCGAAAGAATCCGAAAATGCTCGGGGTCTGAAACTACTTGAACTTGAGTCCTTCTCCGAAGCCTGGTGCAGGCTGGCGCATTTGGCACTTGCAAGAGGTGCACTCGCCCGGGACTCAGCAGCCCACTTTAACGGGCACCCATCTTGGTAATGAGAGTATAATATAGGGGCCTTAATAATTACCTCTACTATTTTGGGGGCTCCTTATTACAATGCTACTATAATGGGCCCCAAAACCCTATTCTAATTCTTAAGGCCCCTATATTAAGGGGTATTGGAACCTTAAAAGCACCCTTGCTCTTCCCCCAGGCCTAGCCCTGATCTTCGAAATGCTCGAAACCCCATATACACATCTTACTGTTAGATCCGAATGCACCCTGAACCATGTCTCCGCTAACATTGAAAGCCCGAAGCATCAGCCCGAATGCCTTAAACCCCAACTCCGAAATCCAGCAATCAGGGCCCCAAGCCCTCGAGCCAGCAGGAGAGTCCAAGCGAAAGCGAACAACCACACCGAGGCTCAGTTTTGTTTACGGTTTGGAGGGTAGGATTCAGCGTTTATTCATGGGTTGCTCCACCACCCCCCCACCAGCACCCCCCTCACGCTATTAGTGGTCTATTAGTTATACCTAATAAGGAGTCGTCCGCTATTAGCTAGCTAATAGCTACCTATTTGGCGCAGAGGTAGTTTTACTCTGGATTTCTCTGTAAGCTCCACAACCTTGCAATCCCGTGTAAACCCAAACACCGACATAGTAGAGTGCAGGTTTTGAGGTTCGATCAGTTTGATGCCTGGCGAGCAACTAGTACAGCCGTTCTTTGAAGCTCAACGTTCCCGCCCCTCCACTCCCCGCCCCACCCCACCCCACCCCACCCCACCCCACCCCACCCCACCCCACCTTCCTTGCTGGCCTGTTAGTTTCGGGGAAAGGGCCGAATCTGGAAAACAAAATTTGTCCAGGGGTCTGGGCTATTAGCTAGCTAAAAGCAGCAAATAGGCACTGTTTCTAGCTAATAGGCTGGGGGTCCGGAGGTAGTGTGATTTGGAAAACCTAAATTTTCTAGGGTTCTGGGCTATCAGCTAGCTATTAACTAGCTATAGCTAGCTAATAGCCACTATTTGCTAGCTGATAGGCTGGGGGGTCCGGGTGGCGATCCGATCTGGAAAGCAAATTTTTTCCAGTGTTCTGCGCTATTATAGCTACTATTTGCGAGCTTCTAGGCTGGGGGTCCGGGTGAGGGTCCGATCTCATTTTGCAGGGGTTTTGGGTGGGTGGCGGGGGGGGTGGGTGGGTGGGTAGGTGGGTGGGAGGGGGTGGGGGGCGCTGATGCGAGCGTACTGCACGCGCTTTTGGGTTTCGGTGGGCCTGCAAGCTCAGATCGGTCGCGAACCTGTCAGTACGATTTTACACCTAGAGCCTCAGGAATCTGAACACACTTGCCCACTGAAACTTGCGGGCTGCAAATGCAGCTATCTGGCTTGGGGGGGCCCTCGAGGGGTGCTCGACTAACACATGATTTATCGGGTTTCGGGTGTGGGCTACCCAAAACAATCAATATTATTCGGGATGACATGGTCCAAAAGACCTAAAACCGCACACTTGGTGCTGGATATGTTGGCAGCAGGGCTCTTGCATGGTATCACAGATTGCCACCATGTGCCAGGTTGCTTTCACGACGGTTTTTCTGCAAAAGGTCGCTTGCGAACTGCCTCCGAGCCGCCCATCTCTGCAGGGCAGGTGTGTTGCATTCCTTCCTGCCTGTAAATTGCTTTGTCCAAATGCATGCGAGAACGGCAGCCTTGGCTCAAGCAAGGCTGACGCGGCGACCGGCAAGAACTGTGGCCAGCCTCTTGACACGCCTCAAAGGTTTGCCGAGCTGGCATTATCAGCCAGGCGCTTCGTGAGAATATTAGGACTGGCCATGATCCTGCAGCACCGTGTTCCGTGGAACTCTGAACAGCCTTGCCTTGGTCATGATCGCATCAGAAGATCCCAGCAGCCAGCGGGAAATTGAGATTCTGCCCATTTGAGAACATCCAAACGTCATTGGTCTTCTTGACTGAACTCTTCAAGGAAGTGGTTCCTGCCTTGTGTTGGAACTCAATCATGCAGTATGGTTTGGACGGCAGACTGAGAAAAAATTCGCTGATGCCTGGCTGCTTCATGCAGTGAGCGTGTGGCCGTTTTGGTGATGTGGTTGTAGCTTTGCGTTGCAGTAAGAGTCGCAATCCGGGTGTTTACCACCGGAACGTGAAGTCTGCCAACATTTAGCTGCAGGACGTGCGAAGATCGCGGACTCTGGCGCCTGGCGCTGCGTCGTCTGCGATGCTCAGCGTTCGTGGCGCCATCGAGGAGTATCCTTCGTTTGCGGTTGCAGGCGTCATTTTAATTTTGAACGAGGGAAAATGACTGAAACATCACAGGACTTTTGCCATGGGAAAAAACCAATCCGTAAACCGGCCCTAAACCCTGACACCTTAAGCCTGCAACCCTAAATCGTGGTGGAGTTTTACGGCTCAATGTTCGCCCTTGGTGTGAGTGGTTGCGTGTCTTAGTTTAGTTGCCGCATGTATCAGGATCCTATAAACGTGATATAGGCGAAGCCGTAACCTGGGACACTTGTTGTTGAAAATGACAACGTGACTTAAACCCTGGGATCAGGCTGTTCAGAATGGGCAACACACAAATTATATACACTTCGGGATCCTGCTTTATCAATCGGTGAGGGTGTTCCGATTCTTTAGCAGTTACAGCATGCTTGAGCAATTAGAGATAATTAGTGGCTCCAGTGGTTTGAGTGAGGCCAGTGTTGTTGAACATATTCATATATCCCCGGACCAAGATTGGGATCTTTAAACCTCCAAAGAGATGGCGCCCGTTCACGGACAACCAACAGGGAACCCATGAATTTGAGGCTAAATTCAACTATATGGGGGATGTTCTTGAAGGTAGTAGTTGCTAGCTAGCTGCAACCCAGGTGTGAGCCTGCTTGTCAGTGCTTAGCAGCTGCCAGCGTATGCAACTCAATGAAGTGTAGTCCAATCCTGGCTTTCTTTGTGAATTTGCTCCGGTCGTTGAGGTTCAGACAGTGGGGATGTTAGGTTTGGGCGACAGGTTCCGCAAGACTGGCAGTTCTTCTTTAAACAGTTTTTTGGGGCAGCTTCAAGTCTAGAAACTGGGCAGCCAGTATAGAACGATGTACCAGAGTTGCATTGCCAGGCCCGTGTCATGGCAGAGAGAATGAAAGTGCAGCAGCGGCAGAAGAAGGACGAGGTGAGAAATTTAACAGTTCTGGATTCTTGCGGTCATTCTGTGGATTCTCATCCAGGGCCTCGTAAACACAGCGCGTCAGCAAGGTTTTTGTAACCATCGAAGAATTGTCGATTGTTGTGGACTTGCGTTGAGTTTTGATGTTTTGTTTCCAATGAAGAGGATCTGGCTGGTCGTGGCTTGTTGTGAACCTTCGTGGCTTGCAAATATTTAGCACCTTATCCGTGGAATGCAAAGGAGCCGGCGCGACCATTGCCTGGGCGCCTTATTTGGAGGGGATGCGAAAACCACCGACCTTGCGGGAGATGGTGTTAGAGCAGAAGGATGAACGACAACTGATTCATAGAAGGAATTGCAGGTGTGGCACTGAGGCACATGGATGGGGGGTCCCGCTAGACGTGCTCACCCAAGGACCGGAAATTCATCAAATCGTTAGCTCCGTCAAATCCAATTCCTAAGCAAATGAACCAAGCACCCTTCAGCCCCAGACAGCCTTCGACGATAGACAACTTCGCGAACAAAATCGGATGCCTTAGAGCTTGAATCCGCGAATCTTTATGCCAGAAAGGCGTTCAGCCCCTTTATGAGGTGGTGATGTCGAACATCATGGTTGCTGCAGGGGAGGTCTCCTCAGCTGTTGGCCCAGCTCCGCCGAGTCGGCTTTGTTGGAAATGCTGCACGGCTTTGGGCTTGAAGCTTTGGGAGATGGGATCCATTCGAGAGTCTACGGTCGCTGTCAGCTGAGAAGCGAAAGAGGAGGGACTGTGGATTCGCAGTCTCAGACCAGGTCGCAGTTTACGTGAAGCGCTCTCGCTGTTCTTGCTAAGAGATTGAATGCAGAACATTTGTTGTGCAACTAATTTGCCAGTTTTGCTGTCGGTGACTCCTTGTGCCCAGGGTTAAGGGTTTGTTAGTGCACATTGGGAACTAGCAGTGGGCAGACCGTGTGCATCCAAAACAGGAACATTGCTATGTCGGCTTCGGTCGCCACAAGACTTTTTGCAATGAGTGTGCATGCTGTCATTGTTGTTGCGAGCAGTTGTGCTGACCAAAGCACAGGCTTGCTCTAGCTAAGGTTGTCTTGCCCCGTGTTTGCTAGGATCGACATTCTCAGAGTCAGGCAGAACCGCCGCAAGAGTGGGCGCATGAATCGGAGTAGTGAATAAAAAGAAGCGACCAATCAGGCCAGTTGTGCATGAGCCAAGGAGTCGTCTCAACATCATAAGAAGTCAAGGCGTATGTCCCACTGTTCCATTGGCAGGCCTCTCTGCGCATCTGTTTGTTATCCTTTATGGTGTACTTGACGCGTACTTGTCCCAATTTGACTCCATGGAAGAACCCATCCAAGAGCCAAGAACACTTTTGTACATGTCAGGGTCTCTTTAAACGAAATCTGGTACTTGTAGGTTTCACAACTCAAGAGCGTCTGCTCGAATGTCCCAGGCTGGCCTACCACTTAGTGGACTCTTCCTCAAGTTTCTGAATGGAAGAATGGTATCACACCGCACAATATTTAGTCAGTCTAAATGGTTGGGCTTCTGTGCGGATTCTAGCCGAAGCCTCCAATCAGGTCAAGTTGTCCTTCCGCGCTTGGGAGATCCTGACACGAAAGGAGAAGGAACACCGCCTCTTGGTTGCAAGCGACCTTGATTTGCAAGTTCGGGTAGTGTCGCCGCCGACTGTTGCTACTGCTACTGCCGCTGCCATTGCGACGGCTGCTACGACGACGGTGTCACTCGCTGTTGTGAACCATCGTTAGCCACGTGCATTGGCCAGCGCCTCAACGCGCCCCAAGTGCCCCCAAACTCTCAGGCTTAAGTCCGAAAAGCCGAGGACGCCAGAATTGAAACCGTCACTGACTGGGTGAAGACTACAAGAGAACAAGAAAGGCCTTTCAGTGGACCTTTCGACTTCTCACTTGGGTGCTGCCTGCACGTAGAAGGTTGTTGAAGTTCGAGCAATTCAGGGGTCAGCAGTTTAGGCTTCAGCTTATCGAAACACGTGCAGGAGTTCAGTTGGACTTCACTTCTGCAGCAGCTTCGCGTCAGTTTTCCATAGTGGTGAAGGGAGGTTATGAATGGAGTGATTTAAGCTACCAGCGACTGTATAGACCTGGGTTCAGCCGACGTTAGTCGACCGATGGCAACGACGGCAACGACGGTTCATGCGGATGTGGTTTCTGGATACATCCGCATGGGCAACCTTGAAGGCCTGCAGAAGTTTGCGCCACTTAGTTTCGACTGGAACCAGCCTGTCGGTGCAAGACGAGTACCACCATTGGTGTCGGTCATTTGTGATGGGCTGCTTGGGCAGGATTCCGTTCATGGAAAAATGATCAAGATTGCGGAGTGGCTACTGCAGGTTGGGGCAGATCCCGGACACAAGATCACGAACAAGGGGGGCCAATACGATCTTAATAGATCAGCAGGTAGAGAAGAAACCAAAATCTCTGTGGACTGGGAAGGGCACTCGGCAGTGTCGTTTGCTTTTGCTATTATTAGTCAGTTCCAGCTCCGCAAAGGCGGAGCAGACTGGTCAGCGCAGCAAGCTTTTCTGGAAAGCCTCGTGGCTCTTCTTGCTAGCACGGCCACTGGCAAGGATCCTCGTGGTGCAGACGTCACTGTGCCCCAGAGTACCCTGGAACTTTGGGAGTCGATGCGTGACATGACCGACTCGCACAACATGATCTTCGAAAGTTCAGACGGAGAGGTGTCGGCCCACGACCAGATCCTCATGGCGGCCTCGCCAGTCTTGAGGGCGATGCTGGCATCCGCCATGAAGGAGGGCAACAGCAAGCGCATTGAAGTCAAGGATTCCTCCTCCTCTGGCGTCTCGCTCTTCCTGGATCTCTTGTACACAAGCTCCACTCGCGAGGACCCCGACTACAAGACCATGCTCGTGGCTCTGGATTTGGCCCACCGCTGGCAAGTCCATGGTGTCGTGCAGACACTGTGCGTAGCGCTGCGGGACATGATCGACGCTCAGAGTTTCGTGGCTATCGCAGAGGCTGCAGCGCTGAAGGGGTTGGAGATGCTAGAGAGAGCATGTGCCTCCTTCGGCGCCACCAATCAGGAAGTGCAGGCGATGCTTAAAAAGAAAGGCGGACTCCCTGTGGCTGTTCGGAAGCTGCTGGGAAAGACTGAGCATGCCAGCGATGAGCAGCAAACTGCGAAGAAGCGACGTCTTTTCCGCTCCTCCTACATAAATGATGTTGTTCCGGAAGGAGCAAACTAGTCGTACACACAATGCTCGAAAGATCGTTCTGCTTGGCTTGGCTTTGCGCTTTGTGGAGCCAGATGCCGCTCCGCTAAGTGGTGCAGGTTATTTGCTTGAAAACGTCAACTCATATTAGCATCTGATGCTTTGTAGATCTGACAGGGCTTCAGTTGTGTGGGCCGGGCATAACGGCCTGCATCCGGAATGCGACTCCGGCGCAGAGCATGCAGCGAAAAGTATAGGGCCAGTTCCATGTGCATCTGCTTTGACATGTTTGGCGTTTATGCTTCGGAGGGTCTGGAGTCTACACGACCCTGTAGATATAAGGGCGAGTCTAGACCCTTAGAAGTCGTGTTAGGGCTTAGGGCCGAGGCGTTGGTGTTTAGAGGCCTATGGTTTTGGGAGTGTTTTTAAGTCATATGTATATATAGGGTTTAGGGTGTAGGTTTCTGGGATCTGGGGTCCAGAGTCTTCAATGCAGTCTGCGGTTTTGCGCTTTTGCATGAAGCTTCAGTGGCAGAGTCCTCACTTACACGCCCTGATTCGAGGAGCAGCGTCTTATTCCATCCTTGAACTTATTGGGTTTCGGATCTTTCCGAAATCACAAATAGGACTTTCCGTAAATAGGGGGCCCTAACAGAGTACCCTCAATAGTAGGATCCCTATGAAAAAAGGACCCCGAATAAGGTACCCCTATGTTCGGAAACTCCCAAAATAACTCGGGAGCAGCCTGCGACACTTAACCACAAAAGACCTTTGACCACGAACCCCGAACGTCATGCAACGCCAATTCCAACGACCAAACCTGAACTCCATGCAGACCCGACGTTTTCCTTCCAGCATACTTGCTGACAAACATCCATACACACCCTGGCTCCGTCCGAGGTCACAAGACAAACATGCGTCAGGACGGCGATCGGTCTCCTCAGTTAAGTTAGAGCAGTTCGACGTGGGTATGCTTCCGAATTCTCAGGTTTCAGGAGTTTCGTATATCGGAGGGCCTTTTGTTCACTATTCGGTGTTTGATCTTCAAAAAATTTTGGCTTGTGAAGTTTGGGGGATTTGGGTGTTGAGTGTCGTCTTGGAGATCCGGGTCATGTCGACAAAGTTGTCTGAGGATCCCCACCTGCACTATGTATTGTGCCCGTGAATTGCTTGTAGGACCACTCTTCGCTCTGGCTCAGCCCCTCACTTACCCGTGAGCCCCCGCCATGCCAGGATCATAAGAAGGAGCTGTACGAGCTGAGGCAAGAGACGGTCGCCAAGCTCAGGCGCCCTTACACTCGGAGTGTCATGATTACTTACAAGTAGGGCTGTTGTTCCGGATGCTCAGGTAGCCCCAAAATATAGTTTGTTTCTATATTATTACATTTTGAATTCAGTTATGAGCAGGTTCCTGTTTGGGAACAATTACCCACGATGCGTACGCCACAAGGCTTAACTCGACGGCCCAATGAATGCTCGGGGCCCGAAGCCTCACACCCGAGACAACACAACCCTCAGCCTTCAAAGGTTCTTGGAGGTTCAGGGTCAAGGAGCTGTTAAGGTTTGGAGGTGAAGAAAGGTTCAGGATGCAGGAGTGTTGGGGTTGTGAAGGTTTGTGTATGACACTCAAGGCGGCAATGGGCTCAATCAGGCATTGCTGAATTATGAGTCTTTTCACATCAGAATCAGGGTTTAGGGTTTGCCTGCCCATTAGACCAGTGTTGGACATGTCATCTCCGGGGTGGGGTCCGGATCACATAACTAGAATTCAAATCCTTAGGATGTAGGGATAGCTGGAATTCGATTGATAGGGGCTTGGGAAGGGGTGGCGGGCTGTCTACGTTCCGCAGTGTGGTGGTGAAGAAGGCACGCATGCTGCCATCATTATCGAAAGCAGCGGCAGAACATACCACCATCAGAACCGCTCGTTCAGACTGTCTTCACTTCTGCCAGAGTTGAACCGCTGATTGCGCCCTTCTCCAAGCAGCCACATTTTGCGAGGGCGTCCAACAGCCGAGAAAATGGCATGAAGGACCCCTTACTTATGGGCCGGCCGCTCTTGAAAATTCTTCGTGTTAGCAATCAGTCAATATAGTAGGGTAACTATACAGGTGTAGTACGGTAATATAGTATATGACTTCTATTGACTGCTATTTAAGGTCATTACCGTCGGGCCGGCAGTTTGCGCTAGCATTTCCATCAAGACGGTTTTGATGAACCAGGAGTAGTGCTTGTGTGCTTCTCAAGTGACAGTTGAGGTCTCTCTTGCATGATTGCTCCATGACTCCATGATGACGGTTGTCGTTCTGAGACTTACAATCAACTGCAAAGGAGCCAGGATCCCATATGACCACATCAGATTCAAGTTCTTTCTGACAACATAGGAGTCCTTGATTTAGACCCGCAATGCCGAAGGGGTATCTAGGAACTTTTCCCAGGATTGGTTTTTCGACACGCAGCACAGGGAATCTGAAGTCGTTTCACAGATGTGCACCTGCATGGCAGTTTCTTCACGCCTGAAGCTTCATGGAGCGATTCGGAAGGGCAGCGAGCAACTTAAGATTCGAGTTCGCGGTAGTTTAGGGTTTCCGTTCTGAGGGTATAGGCTTCTCAACTGTAGATGCCGACAGGACATGCAGCAAGTCCTGCGATGCTTCGTGTGCTGGTGCACGGACGTCAAGGCACCTTGGCAGCCAAAAGCCAGAAAATTCCACAGAAGACGATCCAAACCACACCGGCCTAGAGCCCTACGAGCAGAAGCCCGAACAAAAGCCCGCAGATTCAAAAAGAAAGCAAGCCAATACCCAAATCTCTAGCTTTGGATCTGAAGCCAGAAGCCCCTAATTATCGAAGACTATGGCCGGGAACGTCGAACGCTGTGTTAGGTAGGGCTCAAGACGGAACCTGAGCCGTGTGAAGGCCTTTGCAAACTTAAGCCTGGAAGGCAAGCCCGAAGCCTAGAATCGCTCCACCTCCGCAAATCAGTCATGAAGGCTTCCAATGTCCTCCCATCAGAAACAGCGAAACCCCAAACCCGAAAGCATCACATCATCAAATCGACAAAGTCTGCTAGCATCAATTTTCGCAAACTGACTATCAGCATCCTCCCATTTTCGAAGACCCCCCCCTCTCAGAGCTGTAGAAGCCTTCTTCACCTCCCCCTTTGCCAGGCCGGGAAGATGGCGACCGATCTGCTGGTCGCCGAGGAGAAGAAGCGCCAGGAAGTGGAGGCCGCTGAACAAATGTAAGTTCTGTGTGGTTTAGTGTTCAGGGCTCGTATGGGTTTAGAGTCTCCAGTTTCCGTAGGGTTAAGGGTCGGGTGTTTAAGAAATTAAGTTTTTTGCTTTCAGAACTTTGGTTTTGTTTCTAATCTATGCCCTTCATGAGGTGTTTTGGGGCAGGCTCCTGTAACGGGCTTTTGGTTTTGGGGCTGGAGCTTCACGGCAAACGGGTCCAGGAGTCAAGACTTTCCGTGTAGGCTTTAGGATCTACGGACCCTTTTCCTTGGATGCGTCTTACCTGGGGCACGGTGGGTCAGCTTGGCGTGCATGTCAAAGTAAGGAAATTGCGGAGGACCCTTGTTCAGAACAGGCGGTTCGATCACCAGCCGGGAGACCAGTTTTCGGAAGCAACTCTTCAACGGGATCGCCGTCCTCCCGTTAATAGCATTTGTCGTGGATTAGGGTTTCATCTGCAGCAGTGTTGCAACTTACGTAGACGCTTCCAACACTCCGTTCTACTCGCTATCTATACTAGTGTCGCAGGGTGAAGTCATTTTCGGCGTGTCGCTGAGAGGACACGTTTCATGTTTTGACCCAGACAGTATGCACCCTTGGCCCAGCGAAGTTTATGGTGTCGTGGATGATAACACTAGTTCCGACCTAAATCCAGCTCAGCTAGTCAGCACCATCATCACCACCGTTACCGTAATCGTCATCGTCATCGTCTTTCTCATGAACGTCAGCATCAGCATTGCTTGATCATCCCCATCCTGGCCGTCAGCGTCCTTGAGAGTCATCGTCGAAGTGTGGAGGCCAGGACACCACTGCCAATGGTCAGACACAGCCATAAAGAATACGATTCTCGTGAGCACGGCAACCGTGCTGCACCTGTTGCCATGCAAGTCTCGACACACGGCCGATCCGGCTGCGTTTGGTTTTCTTACAAGGCTTTAGAAAGCCATCTGCAAATCAAGAGGAGACCGCTGTAGTATGCTGTGCAGTCCCGAAGTAGTGCATCCCGCGATGCGGGATCTGTGTGCCCACGTTGCGCTAGCACCTGGGCAACCCACAGAGTGCATCGCACAACCTAAGCTCGAAGCTGGTGCATCCTTCGCCTGTTGTGGCCAGGCGCAGATGCAGCAGGCGTGATGGGAAGTGCCATGCAATTAGAAAAGGTTGGGCACACGGAGGCAACGACCTACGGAGCATCGGGGTTGCTGCATGCACAAGTTGCTTTTTGAGCATCTCCCTTCCCAAATGGTGGAAGGCTCTCCACAACCGGAACCGGACGCCTCTCCAGTTTTAGAAGTGTGACCTAAACACGTCTACTGGTATCCACACAACCGCGGCTTCGTTAAGGAGCGTTGAGAAGAACCCACACGGAGAAAAGCCTAAACCTTGAACACCGCATCCTCACGCCGCAAGACCCCAGCCCAGCTAAACAAAACCCGGATCAACGCTAAACCCACAAACCTTGGCCTTAAACCGAAGGTGCAGCAGGACCTCACCGTGGAGATGTCTGCCAGGAAAACGGCCGAGTCTGAGGCCCCGGGCCCCTTTGCTCAAAGCTGCCTCTTATGACGGGTCAGCGAGTCCAGCCTGAAGTAGGGTTTAGGGATCGAGCGTTCGAGAGTTCGAGATGTTTTATAGTGGCCTGTCAGAGCTTGAAGGGCGTTTGCCCATCAAGCTTTTTATGTCGACCTGCTTTGCAGGGTGTACGGGTCGCTAAGCATGCCTCAAAGACTTACCCAGGCTGTCCTGACATGTTCAGAAAAAGCGCAATTCTACGGCGATCCGGGAAGACTTAGTATAGAGTTTGGATGATGTTCTGCTGCTACATATACTCTGGATAGCACACCTGGACCGTACATAACAGCTCCTGGTGTGGATGCCAAACGGGAGCTCAGGGATGCTCGTTGCCATGTCGGGTCCAGGTGATGACGGCTTCAGCCTTGAAGCCTACCCTAAGGCCCCAAAGCAGCTCCTTTATGTGGTTCATATATAGAATTCTATAGGGTAATCCCAAAAGGGAACTACTACAGTATCGGGCCTATGGGTAGGTGTTGGATTGCATTCGGCAGGCCAGGACAGCTACGGAGCTCCTCCACAACAACGGCATTCAGTTCCCAACGGAGCGACAGCAGCGAAGCTTTTGGATTTCTTAGAACAGTGGTTCGGTTCATAAATGCTTGAAGTCTTGACTCTTCGGACCCCGGGGATCCACAACCGCCGAGGATCTGAAGAGCATTGTCGGATTGATGAAGGTTTATAGGGTTTAGGCTCGATATCAAAGCAGGGAATTAAAGGTCTCGTACGATGTGCAAGTAGACCCGTGATTGAGTAGTAGGCGCCTGCAAGAAATCCCAATTCAAACCTCGACTGCTTGCGAAGGCTACAGCTGTGTGTAACCGTGCTGCAAGTGTGTTGCATACCTGGCGGTTGGGAGATTTATGAGGACTCCACAATCAAGGTCACAAAGCACCTCAGACTAAAGGTTACAGGCTTTAGCGGACTTGAGTCTGAGAGGTATCCTTGACCTTGGCCACGTCTTGACACCTTAAGCCCTAAGTCTAATAAACCCTTCAGCCCTTATTAAGACCCTGAATTGAAGTATCGGAGGAGCCGGAAGCAGCTGCCGCGCGTCCAGAGCGCTTTATGCTTCCCGCACCGACCCTAGAGGGCAGGGGAACTTGCTGTGTCATATTCTTGACCATGGCCTCAGGTGTTGGGTTCAGGGGTGTCGGTGCGACATGGCTGACACGCTACCATGTTGCCAACAGGATGTAGAAAGTGTGCCTGCAGCCCATGTACGTGCCAGCTTTCCATTGGCAGCCTTCCTTCCAAAATGAACCAAAGCAAGACCCGATCATCCCACCGGTTTTCTCAGGATGCCCTGCATGAATCTTGTGTATGTTGTTTGACTTGGTGCTTGGCATTCAGTGCATCTCGAGGGCCGCCGCAAACAGCACCCTTAACCCTAGCCCAGTTCTTAGAGGAATCTTAGGACACAAGCCTGAAACCTGCACTCTGTGCTGCTGAGCTTGTTTAGTCCCTCAACAGCTCGAATGGCTTTGGAAAGCATCGTTTGGTGTTTGGTGCGGTGAATTGTTTCTGACTTCATTTTTGGCGGCTTTAGGGGTTTGCCAGATTCAGGGTTATTCCCAATTGACTAACCAGCAGATCAGGTGGAACGCGTTGCGCAGGCTTTGCAGAAAGTTTATCGCAGGCACCTGCATCCGGAGATTTCACCTGCAAGGATGGTTTTTGTTTGTTATGTTTGAACCTTTCTGGGTTTGTTTGAGACTTGTGCGTTACTTCCCGCCAGAAGCGAAGCATGAGCGTTTCGCAACGACGGCGACAGACGAATGCTGGAAAGTCTAAAGCGGAGGTGCGTGTTGGTGTAACCGAGAGCTGTACCCTCCCACAAAGCTACGAGCCAGGGTAGGCAGTGCTATTAGACCTGCACCATTGGATCACTACCCTAACCGTGTGAGCCCCTTCAAGCACTGCAGCCACAAAACCTCTAAACCGACAAACTTTCGGGTTTGGGCTTCGGCATTGAACGTGTTGCAGCTTCGACCTTACTGCTTAAGTCCCAGCACTTGAAGATTAAGTTGGTGGCTCCGGGTGTTTGCCCGAGATGCTGCGTGTGCAGTTTCGCATCCAATGTCCAGAACTTAAAGACTTATCACCACGCAGTCAACCCGTCACGAACTCCAGAACCGCAACTGCATGCTGGCAGATTTCGGCCATGAGCCACGAAGAGACACCGGCATCAGTGTCACAAAGAAGAAGCCTTTGGCACGTTGCTTTGTTGGCTAACAGCGCGTACCATGGACATAGTCCAGACCGAAACTTGCCAGGCGTTTTGGACGATGCAAAGAAACTGGAATCCTGCGAGTTTTGCCAAGCAGCTCAGTCCAAGCGACGCTGGGACAATTTGACGTTTGAGGAAACGAGACGGCACATGCAGGAGTGGTGCGACGACTGGAAAGATGGGGATATGATCATGTTCTTCTTCTTTGGTCATGGTGCGTACTCTGCGGAGAAGCGCACGCAGTGCATGAAGTCAGTCGATGGTTGGCTAATCGATCTCATGAACTTTCGAGATTTTGTCCAGAATCGAAGGAGGATCAACTTCTGTGCCTTCTTTGCGTGCTGTCAAGATATTTCAAGCGACTCTGGACATGTGTGCGAGCTATTTCCGCAGCAACTACCTGGTCGCAGTGTCTTCGGATGCCAAACGCTTTTCCACTTCGCTTGCAGACCTGGTCAAGACATGTATGATGCCCCGGCTGCACAGTCGATGAATGTGACTGAGTACACAGCCTGCTTGGTAAAGATTCTATGTAAGGGCGCGTGCGTGGACGAGATTAAGATGTACCTCCAAGAAAAGGTCAGTGACAAAACCCGGCTGCAGCAGCACCCTGAATACATCAGTTCTTTCGTTAGTGATTGTGCACTTTGGGACGACGGATCACCGATACCTTCGTTGGGTACATTCTCTGCAAGCGGGTCTGTGCAAAGCGAAAGGCCTGGTGTGCAGTTGCCTACTTGCGATATGGTGGCTCAAGACCTGCATCCGCAGAGGCTGGAGGATGGATCCTCTGTCGTTGCCGTACCGCAACATTTGCTCCCAGCAGGAGCACAGAGACCAGGTCTCGGAGACCGCTTCTTTCTTCGGGAAAGCTTTGTTTTGTGGGGCTGGGCGCATCATTTCTGCTTCGGCTGGCACAAGGCTGTGCTGGAATGTAGCCTATACATCATGGAGCACGTCAGCGTGCACCTGAACGCCGATTGATCATGAAGCTGCACGCGGAGCAGGAAGTTATGAAGCGCCAGCTTGAAGACACTCGGCGGACTCTTGACCCGAAGGAGCACGACGTGGAACGTGAACGTCAGTGTGCAGCTGATCGCCAACTGATCATGAGGCTGCGGGAGGATCAGGAATTATTGAAGCAACACCAATTCTTATGGTTCGTATACGTCCTGTATAAACAAGCCTGGCCAACGTGACGCGGCAATTGCGACCGGGCTGAAAAAGCAAGAGGTGCAATGCAAGTCGTTCCGATGCTTCGTGAAGTCTGCAAGCTGCGCACGCGTACATCCGAAAACACAAAAGCAGCTAGCAAAAACTCCCAAACGATTTATATGTCACTGAACATATGATGGTGTATCTGTCAGGGACTAAACAAGCTGGTCTCCGCAATCAGGGTTGTTCTAGATATCTTCTGCACCGGCCTTGAAGTTCCGCTCGCGAAATCAAAATGAGCCTTTGGACCTGTGGCCTTCTGCTCGTTGTCATTTGTCAACCACAGGACACAAGAAGCTGTTTCAACGAAAACCTTCGCAAGGCTTCTCGAACCCTCCAGAAACTCACTCTGGGAAAGATTGAAATCTAAGCAAAGCACTTCAGGACTTGTAAGCTCAGTGTATCTCCTCCGTGCCGGGGCATCTCGCAGAGTTCAGAAACCTTCAGAAACCATGTTGCCTTCAGGCGCCTCACAACCGCTCTCGTCGCCATGCTCACGTCGTCGCCACGGAAGATGGCGTGGCGGGGAGCCTTAAGATGAAGTGGATGTCCCATTGTTAGTGCAGGGTTCCCGAGACATCGAGGGTGCCAGGTATTCCAAACGTTTCGTTGGCACCCTTGAAGTCGGAAAAGTGCAGGCCTGATTTCCAGACTCCGCCCGTTAGGGCTTCTGGCTCCAATATCATTGTAGCAGTACTTGGGTGCATTCCTGGGCCAAGTGCCTGGAGAAAATAGTTCCATGGTTCACACTAGCAGGGGTGGAAGGTGTTAGGAGGAAGTGATCAACAAGAGTCAAGGAAAGCGAGCATTAAATAGCTTTCCAGAGCAGCCTCAAACCATAAAATTCGTTTCCGCAACACCTGCACACCAACATCCGTTCGGGGAGAAATTGCATGAGGTTTTGCTCAAGGTTTGGTTTGGGGTTGATGGGCTGCTCGCCTCAGGTACCAGCGCGAACCTGGTGATCGACAAGCCCTGGCAGACAATTCGAAGTCTAAGAGGCACCTTGCCTGCTGCAATTGGATCGGGGAGAGGGGGAAAAGAAACTTGGGGTTGTAAGCACGTACTTCGACTGGGTCAACAGTAGATACATCAACTATATTTAGCTCAACATATATTATAAGAACCATACGTACTCTATCCTCTCATCCTTGAGAAGCGAAGGTCGGGACAGTGGCAGAACCATTCAGAAGCGCTGTTCAAGTCGGCGTCTCTAGTTTCAAAGCGGTCCCAGGATCAACCCCAAGTCCTTGTCGGTATGCAGAAGCTACGGTGTTGAGGATGTTTGAGAGCTAGGTTTAGAGTTGTTGCTTGGGGGTGTAGGGGTTTAGGACTCCCTTAAGTCTAGCAGCTACCGCAGACATTCAAAATTCGCCTGGCCGCCTAGCACAAGCAACGGAGGCACAGACGTCATTACTCATTACTCAAAGGCTCCTTCCCAAATCCTGGAGTGCTATCCTTGAGCCCCAAGCTTAACAGGCGAATTCTTGAGAACCCCACAGCTGAAACGCAACGCCCGAAGCTCCAAACCCCCAAGTAAACCTCACGCCCCAAAGCCTACTGCTTCACAGTCGAGCAAATTCGTATCATAACCATCCGCATATGTTCCGTAAGGTACACCTAGAATTCCCGCATCAAGCTGGACAAGTAGAACACCCTAAACTCCAAGCCCCCAGCCCTAAACCGCCAACCCTACAACCCTGAACCGCAAACCACGGCTCTACGATACCGAAAACCTTAAGCCCTAAACCTTAGACCCTCTGTTTTTCTCAAGGAAAGCCCAATCAACGGCGAAGCCGGCGGCTTCGAAGGCTCCGGCACTGGCTTCTCCTTTGGGCTTAGGCTTGCCGACTTTTTTGTGGTTTTAGGGTTGCGGTTTCAGCTTGTGGATTAGGCGTTTAGGGTTAGGGTTTTGTGGTTTAGGAATTTGGGCTGTAGGCTTCCGGGTTTGGAGTTTTGGCTTGAGGGTTCGGGATTTGCGGTTCTAAGACTGTCAGGTGCGTTATCAGGGCTGAGGTTTTCAAACGGTTTGTGCGGGGCTGTATGGGGGTTTGTTCGAACAGGTTTTGGGGCTTTAGAAGGGCTTCGCAAGTTGTTTCTATTTGATATACGAGTTCTACAGCCAGGGGTTGGCTTCTTGCAAGTTGTTTTGTGTTAAGGCTGTTCGCGATTTCTGGTAAGGATTCACATGATGATAGGTGTCCCGCTTTGGGAGTCGATGAATCATGGACACACATTGTTCGGAAACTGCCTCATTGATGTGGGCCTTAGGATGCAATGTCCTGTGTTGGGAGTCGATGGATAATGGAGCACCCTTTGTTCGGAAACTGCCTGATTGATGTGGGTCTTAGGTTCCAGGTTACTTGGAAGGGTGGCGGTCTTAGGTGAAGGGCTTCAGAACTCTAGCATCTGACATATTGGAGTAGGTAATCTTTTATTGACCAGGTTGTCTACAAGAATACTTACATACATAAGTACCTACAAGAGAATCGGAAATTGTGGGCATCGTTTGATTCGGAAAGTAGGCGGTTGCTGAGAGTTCCGGGTTACGAGCTGTAGGTGGCAAGGCTTTTTGGGTGATCCACAGATCACCGCCGAAGTCCGGAATCGTTCGCGAAGGATCGTTATTGGCCGAAAGAAGGTAACTAGGGTCTGAAAGGTTGCACATTTTTGCTAAGCATTGATAACTGTGGGCATCCCGAAGTTGTTCAGAGCAGCACGGCTCTGGTGCACGGGCTTGAGTTTCTGTGCAGACAAGCAGTTCAGTCTTCACTTTCGTCCACGTGCCTTGAAGGGCACAGTTCTCCCACCTAAGTAGGTGCCGTTCTTTGTTTCACAGTATGGTGGATTCAGCTTTGCGCGGAACCCAAGCGCACTACTCACGAAACCCTGAGCTCATGAAGGACCATCAATGTGATCACTTTGCAGCAACACCAAACCAAGCAGCAGCACGACGGAACATATTCACCAGCATCTGCAAAAATGTCGCATAGAAGAGCTGACTTGTGCCTGGTGTCCTGAGCCCGAAAGCACTGCGCTGTTCATCCCTGCTGCCCTTAACCCAGGAACCACTCCAGATTCTCGATCCAAGCGACGACTCCATTGTTTTGCTTATTTCCAGCAGTAACTTTCCCTTGAAGCACTCGTACTACAACCATAAGACTGAAACAGCTTGAACAGGCAATCACACAAAGAGACACACACACACACATTCAAGGGCCCGAAATTTCGATCACCCGGCCCAGCCAGTCGAATGCCACAGCCCAGAACCACGAAAGACCGAAGTGCGGTTTAGGATTCACTCATGCTCGCGGGGCTCGAGTGACCTCTATCAAGGCCAAAGTACATGATAATAGAGGGGATTATCACGCTGGACTCCGCAGGTCCCGATCTAAAACTCAACCCCTCAACCCAGAACCCTTCCGGTCTTTCGCAAGGCCGAAGCCCTGAACCCTAAACCCCAAGCATACCCCAAGCCCTAGGCTCCTTCAGCCTTATGTTGAAACTTAAAGACTGAAAGTACCTACACACAAAAGTCCCAACCTGTCCCAGGCCGCTGCACCAGCGATGCTGGCACTGCCGGCACCCGCAGCGACCCCGGGGGCGCCCGGCGGAGTGGCGTCAACGTTGGACTTTCTGGCACCTCGGCTATTGGTTTCTTTGAAGGTTCCAGAGGAGTTGCACTAACGGTTACTGAAGCGTTACCATATGGGCTGCTACCATGTACTATTACTACCTGCGCTGCACTATACGGGTTTAGTGTATGTGGGAGCGTGCGTGGGGTTTCTGCAAAACAGATTAGCGCCTTCGGGCACCCGCAAATATGTACAGGCCGGAATGGTACGAATTCGATTACTAATTGTGCAGGCCTGCTACATGAAGGCTACTTAAGGCAAAAAGGTTCCTTGTATCAAGGGTCCCGGCATGCATTTGATGTCTACACTAGTTTCCGTCAGTTCCTGAAGTTCTCAATCATGGTGGCAAGTATTGGTGGTTCAAACTCCCAAAATCAGCAATAAAGTGCGTCACCCTTCTAGTATGGACCCTGCAATGCACACTTGACGCAGAAAAACACGCATGTTCCTTGTATTGCGGTGGAGGCTTTACAATCCTTGTTGCGCGCTGAGCGGGGCCGGGGCTTTCTCTTCCCCCATCCTTTCCTTTCGCCTGGCCGCACCCGGTGGTGCCGGGCCCTGCTGGGCTTTACTACTGTAGAAGCCTAAATAATTACCTATATTATGGTTGGGGTTCCTTATTATAATTATAGTATAATGGGCCCCAAAACCTTATTCTAATTAATAAGGCTCCTACATTACTCGATTTGCCATCTCGCGCCTCAAATGGAACGTATGGCTTGGTGTCTTCCCAGCACCTTCACATTCTAAGTGCTGAAGCCTTTGCCTGCCGCATGAAGGTTTGCAAGTTGATGCATGACTACTTGCATTGGCTAATGCAAAGATTCGGGACACGAGCCCCAGGAGCCTACCAAAGCCTAAAGCCATCAATCTGCCCTACAATCTGATGCCAAACTCAGCCGAAAGCCCGGAAGCCGCAAGAACCCAAGGGCCGCAGGCCTTGAAGCCCCGATCCTCGTAAACTCCACAATCTCCAGTTTAATTAGGGTTTATAATTAGTATAGAAGCCGAAATAATTGGTTACCAACATTATTCCTTAGGGGTTCCTGATTGCTCTATATCTAACTATACTATACAATGTACAAGGAGCCCAAATTACTTTTCTAATTATTGAGGCCCCTGCATTAGCGTTCTTGAAAGATCCTGTCCATGGTAAGCACGCATTACTTTGTTGCTGGGGTCCTCAGTATGCAAAATCACAGCCTTCGAAAGGTGTTGGGCCACTGTTTTACACATGTTGGTGTGTTGGGGTAAGCCCCAAATCTCTGCGACTTGAGAGGCGCGCACGCGCCAGCTGGTCGCCAGCAGTTTCGATGCAGACGCCATGGCACCAGGCTTGCTGCTAAGAGGCTTAAAGCTTCGTTCTGGAGTGGTCACTTTCGAAAACTAACTACTAGGGTCAATCCGAAGAGGCCCGTACCCTAAACCCTAAAGCTTTAAAGCCGTGAGCCAAGACCTCAAGCTTTTTGACCACACGCCCTAAACCTGTACCCTTAAAGCCGAAGATATCAATATCCACACGCTCCAGACCCGAAGAACAGAGTTGGAGCCGAGGCGGCCGAGATATCGACGACGGCTTCGGCCGGCAAGGCTATGAGAATTGGGAAAGGGCGGGGGGTGAAGGGGGGGATAGGGTTTAGGGTGTTCGCGGCGGGGGCGAGGGGCTTTGCTTGAAATTATATACGAGGTTCGGGTTTTGGGTTTGGGTCTGGCATTTATGACAATAGGGCCTAAAACAACCCAAACCGCCGGGGAGATTCGAAAAGCATACTTTAGAGATTCCTTCACATAGAAACCCTTGAGCGAAAAAGGGTGGCAGATGGTCGGAATAACACCCCTTTTCAGGAGCCGGACATACTGGTACAGTCAGAGCTGAAGAGAATGGCTTGTGGGGGAGATTGAAGACTTGGGTTGTTACTCGCAGGGGTTCAGGTTTGGGTCCTGCAAGGTTTAGGCTCTTGCTTGTAGGGCCTGTAGGGTTGGGAGGTTTAGGACATTATAGTATTCTAGGGCCTCTGTGGCCATTCTGGCTTCGGGGTTCGGATTGTGGTGCTTGCGGACGGATTTCTCGGGCTTTCAAGCAATTCTTCTATGCTGCGGAGATGCCTGGTGTTTACGTGGCCAGCGTGGCCGACTAGTTATTTCCCTGGAATGAAAGTACTGTTACTCTGTTCCGGCGGAGAAGCCTTGCGGGACCTTGTAGGAGTCCACGGGGAAAAGGGGGTCACAGAGCCTGACATGTTGAGTTACACGTCGCATGGCGAACTTTTGTCCTGCGGTATAAGGCTGGGGGGTTTCAGGTCGTCTACGTCTAGGGTTTAAGGGATCGGCAAGCAGCAGACGGGCACCTACTGTACATGGAAATTCGTGTTTCCATGCATGCAAGGCAACAATACAAGTCCTTCACAAACGCCTAGCCTTGCCTTCTAGTGAATCGAGCATGTATGTCCTATGCAGGCTTGATACCTTGAAAGTTTGGCTGACTGATTTGCCAATGCTACGTCCGCACAATTTGCCGACTTGTCCTGAGCTGCTATTCTTCACTGGATGGTATGGGACGTGAACGACCTCTCGCAAATGATGCCTGCAAGCCCAGAGGGTCACCCCAAACACCGAGACTCTGCAAGCAAAAATCCGACGCTTCATCTTTGCTACGAGGCAATGGCTACCCTGTGCCCTCGTTGCCTCGTTTCGGTGCGCAAGATGCGCAGGCTCCCTGGCCCTGAAGCAATTGGAATGCAATGGGCCTTGCCCGTTTGAAGAACTCTAACAATCGAGGATCCATGCTGACTACCACACCTCGTGACCCAAGCATTCAACAGCAATTCGATAAACTTGTCACCCTCAGACCCAAGCGAAAGAAGTTCCGCCTTGAAGACGAAGGCACAAGTCGGTAGGCCAGGGTCACAGCTATGCTTGCTATGTACACGAACTCGGATACCTGTAGGCCTACTTCAACCCCCAAACGTACAAACCAAAACATCGTGATACTCGTACCGGACATACGTATACTGTGTAACCCTCTAACCTTTTAGACTCGAGTAAAGCTTCCACAAGCCCACATCAAGTTATTGTGATGTCCTTGCGGACCTATTACGCTCCAGATCCTAGTGATCCTAGTGTCTCGCCTGGCGAGCATATATGACCCTACCTTAAGCTACCGTAACCGACATTTTTGTAGGTTCCTCTTATAAACGTTGATATGGAATGTATAGGGACGTTTCAACAAAGTAGGTTTTGGTAGGTTAAGGTAGCCGATACTGAAAATATTTATATACAGCTCCGAACGCCTCGTCGTTGGCATCCGAGGTGTCGCCGCCTGAGTCCCCAGGAGCCTTCGAAAGGCTTGGATTGTTCCTGGGGCTGGGGGTACGTAGCATGATTCTTGTTGCAAGGGATGGTTCTTTGAGCTGTGCGGTTCATAGGGTCTTGGAGATGTTACATGCAAGTTGGTGCTCATGTTTCAGGTTTGAGCTGCTCCTTCTTCTGCATACTTTCGTCTACAAGATTCGATTCTGTAGGGCTCCGGGTTGCCAGTAAACGACAACCCTCGAAGCCCAATGCAAGCCAAAGACTAAGTCCCTTCCCTAAAGTTCTTATTCAGCCTTCAAGTGCCCCAAAAGTACCAACCAACAATCCACCGCCTCTTAATCCAGTCCCTGCAACAGCCCGAGAGCTTCTGCGGAGACCAGATGCTCGAATCACAAGTCCCGAAGCCAAGGTTCTAACTCCAAGCATAGGCCCTTCCTCAGATCTGTCCACAGAGTCCCACAAACTCCTAAAGGATCCGTAGAGACCATGCGGATCCCCCAAAATGAATTTGTAATATAGAAGCCTGAATGATTATCGGGCGTTCTTTATTTATAATTGTATAGTAGACTATCCCCAAACAGCCCTCTACCAATTATTCAGTCCCCTACATGACTAGGCCGCGCCTGGTGGCGAAGCCGCGACCCGACTCGGCCGGCCCAAATTTGGTGATCACAGGCACGGGGATGTGGATATGGGGTGTGTGGCTTATAGGGTTTATAGGGGTTTATAGGGGTTTAGAGTTTAGGGGCTTAGGGTTTAAGGCTTAAGGCTTTAGGGGTGGAGGGTTTCAGGGTCAGGGTTTGCGGCTTTGGGATGCTAGCTGCCCAGACTTTTAAGTCATACTTGGGTTCCTGGCCCGTTTCAGGGTTTCGAGCAGACTTCAAATGAGGAAGAACCCCACGAATGGCATCGCTGAGCAGATCCGGTGAGCTTCCCGAATTCAAGTCTGTTTGAAGAGAGGGACCTCTGAGCCTTCTTCTCAGCTTCAAACTCAAGCACACCTTTCCCTACCCTACACCCGGTAAACTTGATAGACCTGAGCCCTAAACCCTAAACCTTAAACCCTAAACCCTGAGCCCTATACCCTAAACCCTAAACCCTAAGCCTTATAGACCCCAAAGCCCCGAGCCAGGCGTGAAGAGTCCTCCCCCGCCGCCGCCATCCACGGCTGCGGGACCGACGTTGCCCACGCGACAGGCCATCGAGCAGCAGATCACCCTCCAGGCCTCGCTGTCTTCTATAATTTTATGATATTCTAGTATTCGCAAATATCTTAATAAAATCTATAATAATGTGCTTATTGTATCCGAAAATATTCGTTCATGATATATTATGTAATCTGCTTTGATGTGGCTACAGTTGTTATCATCACTGTTATTCGTTCAAGACTACGGCCTCTACATCATTATCGCTCTGATTGTCCTTCTTAGAATTTGGCTTCATCTGTGTATAGGTGCAGTACATACTGCTGTCGTTTAGGGGTCAGGGCATGATTTCGAGCCCCGGTGGATCGGCTGTTGTTGTTCCGGATTCTTTCGAGAGTCATCCTAGCAGGGATTTCCAGACTGCGGGCTCGGCCGCGGTCGGCTCGCACTTTGGGCTTCGGAAGGCGAGAGTGTCTTGTGCATTGCAAACTGCGCCTAAAATTCAGCCCACGAGTTCCCTCCGTCGCCGTCGCCAGGACACCCTGACCCACATGCAGGACACCATGCGCCGCCCCTTGGCCAAGGTTCTAGGCCAAAGGCCCTGAAAGGACCTTCATGACTTTCTGGTTTGGGCCTGGGCTTCCCTGGGTACTGAATACAAACAGCAAGAGCAGCAAGACGTTGCTGCAGGATCTTGAACTCATGCGGCTTTGGTAGAGCTGAAACCCTACCAAGGCCCTCAATCCCGAAACAAAGTTCAATCTCCTGAAAGAAATCGCCGAGGCATGGATGACGTGGAGCCCAAAGTCTCGCAGTAAGAGGAGGCAGGGGCTCAGGGGCTCTCGTGCTCTGTGGGGCAGAGTTATTTTTTGGAGCACGGTTAGGGTTCTGCTGGTTCTATTGAGGGGAGATGGTACATCCTTTTAACCTGCTTGAACAGTTGAGTGGTGGGAGTCTCGACCCAGGCTTTGGCTTGAATCTTCGGAGTAGGGCAACAAGGCCATAAGGGCCAAAGAAGGCACTCAAGCATAAGGATCCTTATGCTTTGTGGGCTCGAAATGAGACCTGGGAGAGGAGTTCCAAGAGCTCTTCGGATGCTGGCTGGTCTCATGACCCAGAGTCTTCAAAAAGTAGTCAAGCCGGAAAGGGCGCGGAGCAATCGGTATCAGCGAGCTCCTTGGGAGGAGTTACACCGCTTGCAGGAAATCAAATGTCTGTGAGTATCCCTCAAGCCCTGCTTTTTGTTAAAGCCGAGTTGTCGAGGTTTTACAACGGCTTAGAAGGCTGCGATTTATCGAATAATATGATCCCTAAACCCTAAACCCCTAAACCTATAGGGTTCAGTCCTACAGAATCCCCCAGAACCCTCGTCTGCTTCGGCCTAGGCCTTGCTTGCACTCTACAGGAGATCCTGATCCCAAAATCAATCCCAAAAAAACCCGAAGCGATTATCCCTGGAACCTTTTGCCGAAACTGCCGGTGGCTGCCTGAATTCCTGGGCCCCCTAAAACCGGACGTAAGCCCTCAGTTAAGCCTTATCCCTACCCCCAGTCTCCCCCCCTTCCCTCAAAGCGGTTGCAGAAGTCAGGTTCCCTGCAGAAAAGCCGCCATCCAACAACCGGCAGCGCAGAGCGCAGAGAAGCGCAGCGCAGCGCAGCGCAAGAGCGCGTCTGGCGAGGAGAAGGATGCATGTGTACAATAATTGTGCACAACCAATGTCGTGCATCTAGAGGTATAGTTGTGACACCTGAAAAATCTCGGGTACTCCAGTTGTGATCCATGAACTATGAATGAAGCAGGTATCAAGGCTGTTCGAACTTTGGCGTCAAGAGTGGCACCAGTACGATCAAGCTTTAGATCTGTTTGTTGTGAGTTTTTTTGTGTTGAGACATGTCCGGGCCCTTAATATGCACTCGTTTTGTTTAGTTTGGGTCGAATCATGGAGAGTAAAGAGTGGGAGCTTCGCACATATGGCCCCTCCAGTCTGTTTCGTGCATACGTCTTTCTTACAGGTCTAGGTGCCACGCTGTTTGAAGCTATCGCTCTCTTCGCCAGGAGGAGTGCACCAGGCACGCCGAGCAGGACGACAAGAATCTGCGGCAAGCTGGACAAAGGGGCCGCGCCGTGAGCCCTCCGTGCACAGTTCCGGACCCTTGGACACACCAAAGGCAAAATGCGAACCCTTAACTCTAAAGAACCTTAAAGCCATGAACAAAAACCAAAGCCCTAAACAAATGGGCCTAAGCTGAGCGCAGCCCTAAACAAATGGGCCTAAGCTGAGCGCAAATCGGGCATCCGGGATGTCGCAGCTTCGCGAAGCTTCGATATTCAGAGACAGCCTCCAGGATTTTCGCTCCCAGCCGAGGCAACAAGAGCTCTGTCGGAGCGCTAGGGTTCAGGATTTGTTATTCCAAGGGTTCAGGGTTTACTGAGGGTTACTGTAAGCGCTTCATGAGTTTCAGGGTGTTCTTTAGTTTCACTTCTTCTCCTTTGCTGGTGGTTTCGCTGTCCGTAGTACCCATCGTTTTCGCAGCACTGGCACGAGGATAGTGGTCCATACTGTGGGAGTCGATTCTAATTTGCAGTCATCTGCCCTTACTATTCTCGGATATACATATATACATATGCATATATATATATATATAAAGATAAACCCAAACTATGAAGACTTCCTCGAATCATAACGGCCCCGACATCAAGGTTGCCCCAGTGCTAAGAAGCAGATCTGTTGCCGTTGTTTGTGGTTTCGAAGTGGTGCCCCAGTGCAGAAAAGTACGGTTTGTTGCCGTTGTTTACGCCCGCAGTCACCAGTTGCTCTTGTTTCTTACGCGGCTTGGAGTCGAAAGCCATGTCTCACGAACAGGCGTCCTAACAACGAAAGCCGCCCAGAGCCAAAAAAGGAACGCGAGCCTGTGCTGGGTAGTTTCGGACGGCTGTAGCCAGAATCTTGCCCAGGGCAAATAAGCCCTATTCCGCTAAACTTTAAAGCCCCAAGACCAACCCGAAACCCCCAAGAATGCCAAGAACCCAAAGCCCTTCGACCTAAACCCCGGGTTAGTGTTTCTGGGTCGGGCACCAGGCCCCGCTGTGAAGTGGCTCGTGATGTTCTCGTAGAGGGGCTCCGCATGGAGAACCCATGCGAGCCTACATGAACGGGGTGCAGAGCCTTCCTGGTTGTACACATGGAAGCTGCTGCAAGATCGACGCGCCCCTGCTCCTTCATCAAGAAAGCTGCAATACCTAGAGGCCGGAGTTTAAGAAAGGCTTCAGAATCTACCATTCCGGGCTCCCTGCTTTTCTAAGGCAAGTCGCGAAAGCCTGAATTCAGACATGAGATAAACGGATGGCATACGGCTTCGTGAGGTTGCTTTTTGTAGGTTTCTGTCGGGCTATCCAATCCGAGCCTCGTGTTTCCATTTCGCCCCATGGAGGGCACCGCCCGCCCGACCATTCACGCCCCCACCCCAAGACCCGAGCAAGCCTTCTACAACGCCAAGAGCAAAACCAGACAGACCCCACGAAAAGCCCAGAGATACAAACTTGCACATTTCCGGTATCGGATCGCTGAAGTCTTACATTTTCACTTTGGGCCATGGCCTATGCCGATGCGGAGGACGCCAAGGCACACTTCTGTCAGTGCAGATCGCTTTGAATGATATGTTTAGGACAATTTAGGACTTACGCTTGAAGGATCAGGGAATCCATCATGTTTGAAGCTTACAGCCGGTATAACCTCATCCATAGAAGCCGGAAGTCTATGGCTGGGTTTGGTTGACTTTACTGGTGCTGCTGCCACGTAATGCTGGTTTCAGCCCTTTTTTTATGTTGCATGCATCTTGCTGTCCGAATTGCTGAAATCTTTCTCGCACGCTGATGCCGGAGGCCGGATCTTTACTATAGAAGCTGCAGCAAGTAGTACTATTGTCTCCAAGGCTGCTAAGATCCCGGTTAAGGTCCCGGTCCCTTTCTGCCGTTCTTTTCGATGCTAAGCTGCCGGAGACATGCCAGGGGTCCCAACTGTAAGTATGCTAAGACATACTGAAAGTTGCAACAGTACGGCTTACTGGATACCTGGGCAAAGGCGTTAATTCCAAAGCGATTTGCTTGTCCGTACTGTGTGTTTGCTTTTTCACATATATATATATATATATGTACAGAAAGTGTCGCTGTTCATATTTACTTGCATGAATATGTATATTATGGATTATTCATTTATCGTTCCTATGCACACATAGCATAGCCCCAAAGCCTAGAGCCCAACATGTCTACGGCTGACGCCCGTTCCACGAGGCCTTGGATGAGCCTCACCAGCTCCTGTACGACCGCCTGTCAGGCAACCAGATAACACGTTTCAGAAGGTTTTAGAGGGGGTTTTCATAACTAGAACGTGGTCTAGATTATGGTAGGACACTATGGCTATGGTCTGCTGGCAGTATGACGGTGTTTGGAGAGGGATTTGCAGTCTAGATTGTTATGGCAGAGCTACGAAGGGACTGCGGGCCCTTGAGGTCCAGGGAAAATGGTGTCAGAACTGGGTTTCACAATCACCCCATTCGGGCTCTTCGCAACTTACCAGCTGGATTCATTACTAGCTTCCTCTATCAGACCTTTGAGAGTATGTCCACTCAGGGCTGGGCTGCCTTCTCGCATCTATGCAGTTTCGATGTTCATCCGCGCTCATGTGGATGACGCGTTTACGATGCTTCCACACAGCACTTATTTCAAGCTTGTAGCTTCAGGCAACATACGAGCCCCAAGAAGCTTGCTGAGTGTATGACACTATGACAACGACCCCTGGGCTAGCGACCATCAGTTTCAAGAAGTCTCATTGGGTTCCACCCAAGAGACTTAGCGCCTTTGGCGTGTGGCCTCAGGACTTGGCATCTTTGCAAGTAACTTGTATATTGTATATGGCGTCAGAATGGGAGGACCCAACTGAGGCATTTATAGCGGTTTGGAAGTCCTTTGCTGAGGTTATGATGGGGTAGCCCCGAGTGGGGGGTTTTAACTGCGGCCCAAGTCTTACCCAGTTGATCCTCAAACGTTTGCCTTTGTCTGTGGGGATGAGCCATTACAGTCGCCACCCTAACGACATTAAGGAATGTCATATGTCATAAGTCTGTTGCGGGCCTTTAGGTTCCAGGCAAACCCTATTCAAGGCGGGTAGGGGTTCACTGTATGCACCCCAAAATCCGAAGATCAGAACTTCGAGAGCTAGAACCCTCAACCCTCATAACAAAAACGCCCTGCGGCCCAGAGTAAACTGAACACCCTGGGCCTCGGAGTGGCTTCCTTTCCAGGCCTCCTCCAAGAGCACCACGAAGCTGTGGAGAAGCAGCTTGAATCGCTCCAAGGTGCACTGGACAAGGCGCCCGGCCCCGCTCTTTTTTGGGGATGCTCTCAAGTTCTAAATTCAGGCTTCGAGTCTCCAGCCTTGTACGAAAGCGTCTGCACTTTCGAAATCTGACTGGACCCAGGGTCTTGCCGCAATAACATCCACCGAAAGGCAAGATCAGGCACTCTGCATTGCTTCTATGTAAGGTCTGGTCAGGTCAGGTCAGCCATGCATGCATGCTGCATGCATGCACGCATGTGTGTATGTCAATGTACGTATGGATGGATGGACGGACGGATGGATGGATGTAGGAGTAGGTGTGCGTGCATGTGTGTGTGTGTGTCCTCTCTTGAAGGCGAAAAGTCCCGAGCATTCTGGCCATGTCCACACGCGCCGACCCCAACAGCTCAAACTTGCGCAAGGTAAACTGGAAATCGTGTGCGCTTCTTCGGGGATTTGGGACTTGTTGCTCCCACACCTTGGTGCTTTCTTGCAGGAGCTGGGGAAGATCGTCCAGGTAGTCGTGTGGAGGTATGGCTGAACCCAAAAACTCCCCAAAGCTCTGAAGGGTAAAGTTGCAAAACCCTCAAAATCCCCGCCTTAACCAACCCTTGCAAGACCCGAGCCACCGGGAATCTCAGCTTAAACGAAAATACAGTACCCAAAATAGTAGGATCCTTACTATAAGGGCCCCAAAACAAGGTACCCCTCATTTTCGGAAACTCTAAACTCTTATAATATCCTTTAAAAGAGCGTCGGGGAAGGTGCGCGGGTGCTTCTCCGTCGATCAGAGCCACAGCTTATCAGCCTCGGCTCCTGGCGTCCAGCTCCGCGGCCCTTTTTCTATGGGCTCTTGGGTTTAGGGTTTAGGGGTTAGGGGGTTAGGGTTTAGGGTTTAGGGTTGGGGGGAAGGGGGGAAAGGGCGAAAGTTTGGGGTTAGGAGTCTTTGGGCTTCGAGGGGTTGGCGTGTAGGCTGGTACCGGTAGGATTTACGCTTCCTGGTTTAGGTACAGGTTTTGGGCGGGTCAATCCCTCCTCTACTTGTAGCTCGTAGTCGGCAGTTGCGGTGCAGTGAAGACAGCTACACGATCGAGTCCATGGTAGTTGTGACTGCAAGGAATTTAGAAGTGATTTCAGGGCTTTGGGGTTTGGAGGCTCGCGGTTCTGGCTTCGAGGTGGAGGGAGTTTAAAGTCCGGCCTTCGAGAGGTTGGGGTTTTTGGGAGTTTGGGAGTTAAAGACTTCTTGGTGTTGAGGGCTTCTCACCCTTGCTTGAGGGCCCCCCACAAGCATTACATCAGCGACGTATAGGACTCTAGCATGGATTATACAGGGGGTAGCCGTGACTCATTTTAAGAGGAGCACAAAGTTTGGCGCTTGATGGCGAAGGGAGTTGGGCACTTGAAGGACTTACAGGCGGCAAGCCGAAATGCTTTTGCCTTAAAGGTTTGATAGGAGTTAAGTATCTACTTTGTAACTCATATACTGTATAGATAGATTACCGTTTATAAGGGAATGTATGGATAGCCCTGAAACATCAAGAAGGCACCGTTTCCAAGAGACGCTCCTGCCAGGATCCGGGATGTCTTTCAGGCTGATGTGAGCAAGGGTGGGGCAGCCCAGGGTCTTTGCACCGAGTGGTTCCTAAGCGTGTATAGAGCTTGAAGATAGCAGCAGAGTAGGTAACCTTTAACCTTTGTTGGGGTAGTATAGCCCCGTTGTAATCCCTATATAACCAGAAAGGTTAACCTTTAGTTCCCCTTGATACCCGACAAGTAGGTGAAGATAGTGAGCAATTCTATCCACTTGTTACGGGCCCTGTAGTCTCTACGCCAAAACCTTAACCGAGTCTTTCGGGCTCCAGAGTTAGAGTTGTGATTTTGAGAGTCCCCCGAGCAGGCGATGTCCGGAAAGGCTAAGGCCAGAGAGACTGCAACGCAAGAAGAGCCTACGTTGATGTCCATTCCATGCTTTGTCCGCTTAGCGGTGGAGGCTATGTGCAGCATGCTGAAAGCGAAACTTTGCCTTTGCTGAATCCCACACAAAGGGCCAAAACATGAACCTATATAGAGCTATGCCGAGCGGTACGCACTACCATGCATGCAAAGCGGGAAAGGCTTCCCGAAGCACCCGGAGCTTGGCTGCTTCACGCCCGTGTATAATAGCAGAATACCGCCTTTGCAGGTTCGTCTTTCTTGACGGTTCATAGGATGCTCCATTAATCTGTTGTGTGCAGTTTCCCCCGAAGCCCTTAGGTTGAGTTTCCGAAATCCTTATCATCCTCCGCCATCTACCACACCTTGGGTGGGCTGTTCGGGCTTTTACTTTTTCGACAACTTCCGACTTGTTGTACGAAGGGGGAAAGTAGAGCTCTTGGAGGCTCTTCGAAAGTCAGGCGAGTCTCATACCTATCTACGGCCTTAAAGGCTGTGACAGGTCCGAAGGCACGGTTTTGTCGAGTTTGGAGATACAGCTATTCCAAGCTACGTAAGACAGGAGCAAACCTTAAACATTGAAGCCATGGAACCCTGAGCATACACCGAACATCTCAAAGCCGAAACTTTAAGCCTTAGCCGGCGCGTTCTGAAGCCAGTTCGGAGAGGCCCATCACCCAATGAGATGGTGAGGCTGAGGGGTCTGGAGTTTAGGGGCCTCTCAGGGGATTGGGGCTCAGCACTTGGGATCTTTGCCAGTATAGTAGATGCTTGGAGGGTTGTGGGGCTTCGGGTGTAGATCTTCTAGTGCTTTGTCAGGGGTTGTACAAGTGGTTGCGTGCTGTCGAGGACTTGAAGAGGGTTGGTTTGTGGTTCTTTCTGTGCGGGAGGCTTTCTGCATCGTGGTAAGAACTGGGCTTCAGGGTTTGTGCGCTTCGATGCGGTTTTTCAGGGTGCTGTACCCAGAAGGCTCTTCCATGGGATTTGTCTGTGTATTTACAGCGCTCCAGTTCGTTTTCAGGTCTGGTTTAGCGTGTGTGTGAGAGAGAGAGAGAGAGAGAGAGAGAGTATTTTCTTGAAGAATATAGGCCCCAACGACCCCAAATGCGAGTAATCCTTTCTTGTCGGCCCAAACCCCCTGCTCCACATCAAGCCCTGTCCTCAGCCCGACGTCTTAGATTAGAACTGCAAACTGCCACGGGATGGAGTTGGCATGTTGCGCTGAAGGTTTAGATCCAGGCCCAGAACCCCACCATAACCCCACTACGTCTCTTACGTTCTAAACAGGCATCCGATCTTCCCAAGTCGCGCCCCCGCCCCCCAACCGCTAGCAAAAACCCAACAGCAAGCATGAGCACCCTCAGCCCTAAACCGTGAGCCCGAAACCATGCAGGGAGAAAGCATCAATGGCCGCTCCCTCGCAAATGAGGGTCTCTCGCACTCTTCGGTCTTTCTGCTTTTTCTGGGTCGTATCCCATGATCTGGGTGGCACTTTGGGAAAGCTGCTTGCCTTCCGATCCCGTCCAGCCCTAAATACTGATGTATATACCTCGTCGTAACACTTTTGGCTGGTTTTCAAGGTACGCACGGCCGGTGCTGTCCTCGAGCCATTCGGAGAGCTCCACTGAACCCAAGCCCTTGCATAAAGGCTTGTCTTTGTAGCGTAGTAGGCATTAAATCCGATCCCGGATCAAGTGTAATGCAAATGCAAAAGATAGAATAGAGGGCAGGCTGAGACGTGATTGAGGTTTTGTGTTTCGGAATCCATACTCCAACTCTTCAGCAACCGCTGGTTTAAGCGGTCTAGCTCTGATACTCGTCTTCGGGACTTATACTTATTCGCAACACCAACATTGGTACCACATCCAAGGCCAAAGCACGGTTTCTTTAGGAGACGGAACAGCATGACACCTCAGAGCACAGGCATCACATCCCAAGGCTGTAAACCCTAAACCCTATAAGCCACAAAGCCTGCATCCTATACACCCTAATCCCAGAGCCGGTAAATGAGCCCTAAACCCCAAACCGCTATGATTCTCTGGGCTTTGAAGTCAGTTGCGATCTCTCAGTTTGATGCAATGCGACATCGGCCTTGCACCTCAAAACCTGCAAAAGCTGCGAAAACCCTCAAGACTATGAGCTTTTTGGCCTACTTTGGGGCTGTGCGCCGTTGGGGCGTCGGGTTGTAAGTCTCAGTGCTTTAGGTATTTTAAGGCCTTGGGGTTTGGGACTTCCAGGTTTGTTAGCGCGTTTTAGTGTTTTCGAGTCTTGATCTTGCGGGCTTTAGGCTTGCACCCCACGCCCAGCTTTGTAAATCGTCTTATTAAGCCAAAATAAAGTTGATGTCAGATCGTTTCAGATTTATCTGCCTAGTACGCCTCAAGATAATACCATGTAACCTTTTTGGGCCAAGCATCTTAAAGTCCAACTTCTGATGTTGCACTCTGAATTTCGGTCTCGGTATCCCAAAAAACCCTATAAACCCTAAAGCCCTGAAGCCTAGCTTGCTTTTTTCCTTTTTCCGAAGGCCTCAGGAACTCCGAGCATCCTCTCGAAGCTGCAAAATGCGACACTTGTCGGCAGAGAGGTTTGGGTTCAGGGGATGAGGGTTTAGGGGATGAGGGTTTAGGGGATGAGGGTTTGGGGATTGGTGTGACCGAATTAGGCTTGTGGGTTTAGAGGCTCAAATTATAAAAAGTGGCGTAAATACTTACATATACCGATTGTGGGGTTCCTTATTATAACTATAGTATAACGGGCCCCTAAACCCTATTCTGATTATTAAGGCCCCTATATTACCTATTACTTAACGGGGTAGACGTCAGAATGAAGGCGGTCCTGGCCTGCAGGTTCTGGGGCGACAGGCAACATTTAGACCCTCAACCTCGATCCCACGACACGGTTTAGGGTTTAGGGTTTAGGGTTTGGGGTTTAGGGTTTAGGGTTTAGGGTTTGGGGTTTAGGGTTTAGGACACATCCACATAAAAGCAATAGCGCCTGCACCCTGAATGCTTTCTCCCGGGCTGTTGGAGCATGGAAGCACCGAAATGCGTTAGCTTTCCGGTGCAGGTTGCAGAGAAGCGGCCGGAGCATCAAACCAAACCTTCAAACTCTAAACCCTAAACCGTTCTGCCAGTCCCCCTGGCCTATCGGCCTTTGTCTGGCAGACTGGATTGCTGGGTGAGAAAGGGACTCAAAAACAAAAAACGTTCAGTCCGAAAGCCTGGCCCAGAGCATAGAAGAGCTGGTGCTTTTTTAGACCAGAAGCATCCCCACCCTCGCGACGCCTCGCCAGGATTCGCGGATCCCCGATCCCTAGACAACCAAAAATAGAAGCACCCCTATAATGTATACTTACCCCTGATAATTAGTTAATTCACCCTTCCCCTTTAAACAGACTTGTACTGGGGGTCTTAATGAAAAGACCCGTAAAGAAGGTGGTGTTCATTAGTGAGCCGTTTGCATTACCTGTACCAGCGCTGTCGGGGCCTTGTCGGACGCACGTAGGCGCGCTCTCCGGGTACGGCTATTTGAGCCTTGTGATTGCAGGTATTGCAGGTTGCTTGCATGTTTAGACTCGAAGACCCCCAACCCTCAAACCCAAGCCCCTCCTAAAGCCCTGCACCGTAGAGAGTAGACCCGAATTCCTCATCTCTAAACCCTTGCCAAGAAGCCCTTGGCGCTCTTTGCTAAAACCCTACAGCCTGCGAGGAGTTATGTGTGCTGCGTCCAAACGTCCAACAGTGAAATCTAAGGCCAGCCACTTCAAAAGCAGTTTTTGTAGAGTATCCCTAAATCCTGAAGCCTTACGTCTCTAACCTATAAACCCCAAAGTATATAACCGCCACCCTAAGTCATCCAAAACCCGCAATATTTGCCTCCCCTAGCCCCAGCTTCCACAACACGAGATCAGAGCCGAGGCTTCTTGACCAGGGCTCTTCTGAAGCGAGCGAGTTGAGCCTACCGAGCATGAACGGGCGAAGCAGCGGTGAGGCAGCGGAGTTTCGAGGGGCTCCTTTCGGCAATTCTGGGCTTTTTTTAAGATTTGCAAGGGCTGTTACAGGTTTTGCTAGGCCTCTTTTTGGGTTATGGGGTGTTCTATCAATGGTTTTTGATTGGCGGGATTCAAGGCGATAGGTCATTATCGCATTCTAGGGTCCGTGGATTTCTCGTCTCGGTCTTTGATGACACCCCAAACAGCAACTCCATGGTGTGGTTCCGCAGCTTTGGATGGTGGTGTTCCCACTGTCGTTGTGTGTGCCTCAGGTTGTTCGGATGATGAACCTAATTCCTGTATGCACAGGGGCACGGACTGGGATTCCTGTGGTTGATATTAGTTTTTTGAGGGTTCTTCCGTGTCTGGAACAGATGGTTTCAAATGCTGAACCCTAAAACCCGTACTTTGAAACCTGTTCGGGTATTGAATGAAACGGACATCATGCCAACAGAGCCTCTTTGTCTGCTGCAATTTCTGCAACACTGCAAAGACTTGGGTCTGACAGGTCGTAGTAGCACTGAGGGCCTAGACATCATCATCATCATCATAATAACCATCATCTCCATCTTCGTCTTTGAACGCAGTTCATGTCATTGCGCCTTGCAGGCGCGACTGTTGGGTAGACCATGTGCCTTAGATGGTTTCTGTGTATTTCTTGTTTGTCATGGGCCTCATGCGGAGAGCTTCTCTACGCCATGGGTCCTTTGTAGGTCGTACTGATAATGATAATTCATATTGGAGGGACTCACAACTGGACCTTGCTTTGGGGAGCGAAAACTAGACGAGGCATGTTTGTGCAGTGCGAACGACTCTAAACACCTCCGTAGTTCTTCTAACCCTAGCTGCAAGTAAGCCGTGGTTCGTCAGACCTTAAGCCTGAAGACGACGCATACACTCTTTCCCCCAAACCATGTCCATCCCGAAATTAGCCTTACGTAGACTAAGCAAAGGAGGACTTGCAAGTTCCAGGAGCCCCACAACTCTGTAAAGCCTGGGGTCTTTGATGACAAGAAGACCTCCAAACCTTATATGGGAGTTTCCGAAAATGGGGGGGGTACCTTATTTTGGGGTCCTTATAATAAGGATCCTACTCTTTAGGGTACCATATTAGGGTCCCCCATTTTGGGAAACTCCCATATGAACAGGTTCCAGAACAAGAATCCCTCCCCGTGGTGCCAGTCGAAGAAAACGATTGGGTTTTCAGAGGAGGTCGAGGCGGGCAAAGGCTTTTGCGTTTTTGTTTCAGGGTGATCTGGAGTGGCTGTTTCGGTGACTTTACCGCTGTCTAGGATTGACGTAACAAAAATGTTCATACTGCTTTGAAGAGTTTAAAAGCATCTCTTCGGGTCGATGGCACATATATTCGCCTCAAAACTTGTAATGCGTGTTTATTTGGCTTCACTGTTTTTTGGGCTTCGGCAGCCCTTTTTCAGGTAGGAGCTCTGGAGGTTGGAGTCCGTTCTGCAAGCTTTGGGTACGGCAGGTTTTCTTCGGAGTTCGAAGGTGGATTTCTGTGGCTTTGGGGGGAAAAGGAGCTATGCCTCATGATTACGCTCGAAGTTAAGAAGAGTGAAGGTAGAGTGTTGTCTCGACAGCAGCTGCAAGAATTTTCTACTTCTACCAATTAAGATACCAGGTACACGTCCGAGGCCTAACTGTTGGGTATCGTGCTATAGGATTTCCTCACTATCTACAGGCCGGCCTTGCAGCCAGCACTTACCCTGCAAACCCCAAAACCCGATCACCCTAGCTAACACACCTTGAACTCTATGCCCTGAACTAGACCCGAAAACTCCACACACATAAGACCCAAAAGTCCCGAGCCTGGTGAAGAAACCCTAAACCCTAAACCCTAAACGCCTTAGGAGGGCGGAAAAAGGTGCTCAAAAAAAGAAACCTAAACGCCGAAGAGCTCTGAGGTGCAAAGCCCCGAGCAGCCCTGCAGCCCAGCCACCGCCAGCATGGACTTCCAGGAAACGGAGGAGTGGCAGGCATCCTTATATGGGTGGTTGTCAAAATTAGGGTCCCTTTTTGGGGACCCTAGATATTATAGGTGCCGTATTCTAATAAGGACCCAAAAAGGGACCCTAATTTTCATCCTCTCGGAATTCTTACCTTGGGTTAGTAGGGAATGGAAGAATGGTAGTAAGAGTAGTTAGAACTGTACCCCATTCCTCCATTCCCTACTAACCAAAGGTAAGAGTAGACTTTCTTTCAGGGTTTCTTCCAACGGAATGTTTTGTAAGGAATCCATGAGCATCCTCTGTCTGAGATTTTCGACCAAAAGCCACCCAGCTCACCGAAGCAGAAGCCCCAACATACGAAGCCTTGAACCTCAAAATGCTTTTATCCGAAAACCACAAGCCTCGCAGGCCAACTCTTAGATAGATCTCGCCCGATTTCAGCGAAGGCTACCTAACATCTCTGACTGGAAACTCGTTCAAGCGGCTTGTAAATCATAGGGTCATCCCTCTGTTGGCCTTTAAAAACGATAAGCAAACATGCGGAGGTCGGGAAAACTTCCTCTGTGGGCTGCAACCAGGCGCCGACGAGTGTAGGATTTGTATTCAGTGCCTGGTGGGAGGGTTTCTATTCAATGAAGGGTCCGTTTCCGGGTCTCAACTTGAAATCATTCGATCCTGGGAAGATATGTTTTCTTGAGCCCCAGTAGTAGGGTTGATAACAGCAGCGGCGGTGGTAGCAGTTGCAATGGTTCCAGCCGTAGCTGCGTGATTTTTCTTTCCATAACGATGTGGTAGCACTACGATATACACTGAGGTTCTTGCACTGAAAGACTGGGGCATTTAGCGGTGTTGCTGATGGTGTTTTATCATGATCAGTCCTGTGTTAATTTAACTTGGTTTAAAATGTGCTAGCAGCTAGCAACCCTATGAGGCTGCAAGTTGGTGCGTTCTAACGCATTGGGGCAGTCGTGCTCCTCGGTGCCCTGCGTATTCTTGGTGCGTGGACTCATCATCCGGCCATGGTCCCATGCGTTTCTGAGCCTCCGAGCCGTGCATATTGGCATAATTTCATGTTTCCGCCTCCAAAAGCCTCACTCCCGTGCATTTCCGCCGAACGATACCTTGCTCCTGCCACAGTGCTGCCACTTGTTGCTCCCACCACGTGTGGTGACGGTGACCATTGCATTTTTACTCGTGGAAGGGTCTGTGCGACGCAGGGTGCTCTTTCCTCTGTTTGTAGAGGAGTTCTTTCGTTCCACGATCGCGTAAATACTGATGTGTCCATTCCGTCTTGTCTGGTCATTCTGTCGACATTGCTTTACAGATAAGGCTGTCACTTACACAAGAATCAAGAATCCCAAGCCCGAACCTCCTCGGACTCTGGACGGCCATTTGCGATACCCGTACATAACCGTTTAACCCAAAGCTCCCCACACAGTTCTTTGAGAGAACTCCGACTCCCCCAGAACCCCCCATGAAACACCCATCAGTGGTGTGCCCTCAACCCGATGCCCTAAAGGACACGACATTTCCGCGGCCGAGTTCCAACTCGCCTGGCCAGGCGCTTTCCGTGACCGTCAGAGTATTCTTGTGTTGTGCCTGCTTTCTACTGCTAGTAGCGTCGCAGTCGTCGTCGTCGAAGCAGTAGCAGCAGCATCAGCAGCAGTGGCTAGTGGCAGTGGCAGTGGTAGTGGTACTGGTACGTAGGTGTGGCAGTCGTCGTCGTAGTGGTCGCAGTGAAAGGGAGCTTGGGTGGGGTGAGACTGGGGGTAGGAGGAGGTAGGTGGTAGAGGTAGGGATAGGGGTAGGAGCAGGAGTACGCAGCGACGACGCCGGCGGGTGCGATGGGATGACGGATCCCACGAAGCTGGCAGAGTGTGGCCGCGGCCGAGCATGGGTGCAATGGAGAAGGGCTGCAACGCAGCTGTAGCAGCCAGGTGTGGGGTAACACAAGGCGTGCTCGAGCACACGGGCTCCAGAAGACCAGGGAGAACAGTTCTGCAGGCTGTGCTTGGTGCCCAATGTCCGACAAAGCCCCTTTGAGATACCAGTACATGAACTGCACCCTCAGCCCAGCCCGATATAACAAGGCCCAAGCCTAGGGTTAAATCCCTGAACCCAAAAGCTTTCTGGTTGACTCTGCCGCAGATCGATCGGAGCCGTGCCCTCTCCACAAGTACTCGGGAAGTGACTGAGATGCAGGACGCTGCAGTGCATCTATCTTCTGCGCTTTTTTTGGCAGTAGCTTCAAACTTGTGATTCGCATAATGGTTTTCATGATAGGCGTGTTGTATGTACAGTGTCATCTAAGCACGGTTGCTTTACTCCCATGTACATTAACTTGCTTCTGATAATTAGTAGGATTAGTAGGAGACGCAGTGGCAGTCGTAGCTGTAGCAGCAGTCGTCGTCGAGACGAGACGGTGGTAGTACTGTACTGGTGGTGTTCATAGTTGTCCTGGCCGTAGCAGTAGCGGTAGGGGGATACGGCAACAGGATAGTTGGTGGTGGTGGTGCTGCTGTTGCCCTTGTTATTGTGCTCGTAGGGCTCGTTTGGGCCCTCTACAGGCAAGGTATGTATATCTCTTATATATATGTACATACACACACGCAAAAAGTATGTGTACTGTATACATATATATATATATATATACACCGTATAGTAGGACCATATATACTCTACTTCATGGCCACGGCCTCTGCGAGGACCAACTGCAGATGGCCTCAATTCGTCGCAGATCCTTGCGCGTGAGCGCCGTCATAAATCAGTTGGATCTGAATCTGGACGAGGTGCGTGGGGCTTTGCCGTCCATCAAGGGTTCCTTATAAAGCTAGGAAAAATAGGACGGGGTTTCGGGGTCCATTTTTTATTCTGTAGGAGGACTCATCATGCTGTTTCGTCGTCACGACCGTTGCAGGGAGGTTCAAAGAAACAGGCGCCATAGCACAGCAAGGCGTAGCTTTCCGCGATCAAGACGAGGAAAAGACTTGGCCAACTGCCATCATCGGATACGGCCGCGTGCTCACATGCCGCGTGCCATTGCGTTGTGAGCTTTACTCACTCATCAAAGCACATCGTCATGCGAACAGTCCAGTTGTTCCATATACTCTTTCGTACGGACGATAGGGGCGCAGTGCTACCAACAGTTTACGTTAAGGAACCCTGATCCCAAATGGTGATGAGTCGGATTTCGGACCTCTGCGGCTTCTGGCCTCAACCCCAAGAACTCTTTACAGTAAATCGCAAGCCAAGCTGTAAGCCCCACCCCTTTCCCGCTCAATGACCGAAGTGCCCCCGACACCAACGTCATGCTCATGCCCCCAGCTGCTCCACCTGAAGTTTGCTGGTTTCCTGCATACATACCTCGAAGGGTCCTAACACCTACCTTGGGCTCCTGGATGGGCGCAAACTCGAATTGTTCAGCTTTCTATGTTGTCCATTTCTCTAGACTGCTGGCAGAGTCCAAGATATTGAACCGAACCCTTGAAATAAGTCCTACCTTTATGCACATGCTGCATGCTGGCAGGACGTCGCTTGTGGGGGTTCTTCTCTGTGCTCTTGGGCTTGGGGGTTCAGGATCCTTCGAACGTCGGGACCTTGTAGGGATCCTTCATCTTCTCTTTCTGGAACTCCCATACAGTCAACTATGGGAAGCTGTAAACCCTGTACTTCAAGACCACATCGATGCATGACGCAACTGCAGACGAACGCAGTGTATGTGCAATTGCCGTAAAGCCTAACCTGCAGAAGCAATGGTAGCAGCAAAAGCCTATGAGATCCCCGAAACCTACCCCTTTCAACCTGGCATGGAACCTGCGGAATCCAACCAGCCGAATCAGTCTCTTCTTAGAAGGGAGGATTGCTGTCAGTTTGCGGGAGGGCAGTCGAGTTGTGAGAACTTGGAAGCTTCACAGGACAACTGGCACCGCGGCATCAGCACCGGCAGTGTGTTGCTGCCGACCGAGGATCCCGCATGAATGTCCCACGACCCATATCCCAAATCTCTATAGGAGGCTGTATCTTGCATTGGTATTGGTATTGGTGGTGCTGGCGCCAAACTCCCTTAACCCCATCAGTGCCTGGAAGCCATTCAACTAACGCAGGACTTGGCGCGCCCACGCCTTTCCAAGGTCGGTTTGTAGTAAGGTCTCAAAGGACCACGACATAGACAGGAGCTTGAATCATTAGGATAGGGTTTTCGAGAGGGTTGGAGGTTCCAGGGTTTGGGGCGCAGATTCTTGCAACACCTGGACCTGAACCAGGGCGTGGGATCAGCATTCCAGGTGTTATGATTAACAGCAATAATCTAGATTCGGTGTCTATATTATGTATGTGTGCATGAAGGTATGTTTGGGAAACTGGGCGAACACCAGAATATGCATACCCGGGACCCTGTAGTGTGGGATTTCGATGACAGAAGCCTTTGAACCAAAGATCATCGTATGTTTACGGCGCTCCTTCAGTGCTTTCACGCTCCGAGTTTTGGGGGGTTTCATGGGTTTGGTGGGGTTGAGGGCTTCGCGTATTGAGGTCTTTTGGAGGGGAGGGAAGCGGTTTGTGGTTTGTGTTCGTTTCGGGAGCTTGAATACCCGGCTCGGGGGTTTTTCAAAGGTAAGGGCTTTGTTGCAGCAGGGGTCCACATTCCTCTAGCACTCATTCTTGACAGCATGAGTCCACTCCACTCTCCGATGATGCACGGAGCAGTTTCAAGAAGAATCGGAATTCGACAGATGCTGTGTGCGTTGTAACTTGAGTGGAGCCAGGTTCACAGCCTAGATCCCCCCAACCGAAGCAGTGCTGAGCCTACAATCCTCAACATTAACCCTTTCTGAACCTCTGAGGCAAAGATTGACCCTGAACCTTACCCTGCACCCCGCAACCCCCCTTCCTGCCCGTAAATCCTAAGCTAGCCCCTTCCTGACCGGGTCGCACGCCGTGATTTTCTGCTTCCTGGCTCCTCCTCCAGTCTGCAAGCCTTCACCGGAAACTCAAGCTCCCGCTAAGCTCCTCCTCCTCCTCCTCCTCCCCCTCCTCCTCCCCCTCCTAATCATCATCATCATCATCATCACCCTTACCGTCATCATCAGTTCATGGTAGCAGTCTCAACAGTTCGAACCAGAAGTCCACGTGGATATTGGCAATAACACAGACAGTCATCATAGCATAAACATGTTGATAACAGTAATGGCAATAACAGGGGGGCACAAATCATTAGAATTTCAACAAAGACGAGGTGTGGTCACGTAAATAAACCCCGACGCCCGAGCCCGCTCTATGGGGCCCCTGCGCAAAAGCAGATCGTTGCACGCTTAGTCTTAATTTAATTATGTGCCCATTAAGTCCCTCGAAACCCCTAACCCGGACCCTAAAACCTTCTCCTTTTAAGTAACCTTTTTTAGTGTTCCCAAGCACTCCTCGCCAGGATTGGGTGCGGGGCGTGAGCGTCGGAAGCAAATCCGCCAGCCACTCCGGCTCCCCAACCGAGGCCATCTTCCTGTTTTCGACTATCGTTGATATGTTTCTCAATGTTGACTTCGCTATAATGAACCGCCCCCCACCCCCGTCGCCTCATTGATTTCAGACCCAGGCAGGCGGGCATCGATTCTTGAGAGGGGGGGAGGGTTGCCAGTACTACTACGCTTGCTGACTGTTTCTGCGACTCCTGGGAGGGCGGACGACGTCAGGAACCAGGGACTGGATTATTTATAATTGAGGGGGGGGGGGGGCAAATGAGTTCCGGCGGTCGAGTTTTAGAATTGCTGGGGGATTTCAGATGCGAAGGTAACATTACTGTTCTTCGGTGCTTACACAACTGTGTTTGCTGTTCTTGTAGCTGGTACTATCATGATGATTGTGATGATGACGTTCATCATTAAAATCAAGCGATTCTAGCTGTTTTTGCAATCATTACCATTGTTGCTGTCGCTATGATTATCGGATTATCACTGTGTGAACAGGATTTTGATTATGCTCAAGACCAGTATCATTATCGCATCGGGAGTGGTGCCTCTGGGCCTTGAATCCCTACTGTAGCGCGGCTTGTGCCTTGCATCGCACCAGGCTTACGCATGCGTAAGTATGAATGCTGTGGAGACGATGAGGAACCACCCAGTTTCAGGGTGGGATCTTGAATGAATATAAGGACGCCTAAACAGGAGCGGCAAAAGCGCAAGAAGGAGAAGAAGAAGACGCCGCAAGGCTGCATCAGAGCGTTGGTTCTCAGATTCAGGCTTTGGGGAGTAGGTTCTCGCATGTTCTTTCGCAGGGGCTAGGGGATTGTGTGTCTTCTGCTTCTATGTCAGTGCCGTCATTTCCCCCCTCTCACTCCATACGACTTGTTTTTCTTGCGGAGATGGCCTCCTCGTTGGGAGGGTGGCGGTGCAGCCGGAAAAGCAGGCTTAGCGACGTCCGCTGCTTCCTGATCATCGTGGTACGGGACGGCTCGTCATGGCCATGTCGCAAGTGTTCACTTCTTTTTCACAAGCTTCTCTCTCTCTCTCTCTCTCTCTCTCTCTCTCTTTCTCTCTCTCACACACGTCACGGCTGTTTATTGGCACAGATCGTTCGTCGAAGCGAATGCACAGGATTCTCGCTGCCTCTCACATGTTTGCACAGGTTCCTTACCGCTTTTTCAATTGTTCCTCGCAGAGTCTGTTGGGTGGCGGCAATGCGACGACGGCCAGTGCGGTGCGTCAGTTGATTCAGGAAAAGCTTAACAAATGGTGCACAAGACTGGAGCTTTCAAAAACTGCTAACTGCTCGCAGACAATTGCTGGCAAAGTACAGTTTGCTCAAAGCCCTGGGGGCCATCGCACGCGCATGAAATGATCGCTCACTAGCAGCACAAGAGCGAGTCGAAAAAAGATCCACCTGCACTGTATCCTTGCAATCCTAACCCGGCCGCCGCTGAAAGGAGCCGTGCACTCGCGTCTAGGGCCTAGTCTTGACATGCGTTCACAGAGTTGTTTGTCCATGTTGTATTGCAAGTCTTTGACTGATGGCGATATGGGGGTTTCTGAAAACAAGGGACCCAAATCTAGAACCGGAAACTCCCATATAGAGGAAGTCTGAGGTAGTGACATGCCAAAAAGATTCCCTTCCAGCCAAGGCTCTTCGCCCATGAGGGGGACGAGAACGAGGCAATGAAGGCTGGCACTTGTGTGGGTTTTTTTTGGGCTCTGGTTGTAGGAGTAAACCTGTGCAGGTCTCTATTGTAGATCCTGTTTTTGGGGCTTCCTTATAGGATCCTATAATAATAAACTTGGTTGAAGCAAAAAACAGGAACGACAATGGAGACTGTAGGAGGATTCCGTTTAGGAGCCGAGGCTTTCCTGAAAGCAAGCTGCAGCACAGCAGATGGCACGGAGGAGGTGTACGCCTCGACTAAAGCACCCGGCAAGCCCATCAGGAGACTTCTACTTGCGAAGAGTGGGGTCATTTGGAAGCCTGAAGATTTAGTGACACTCTTCATTATTAGGCTTCTGTGTTGCAAAAGTATACTATACAAGTTGCTATAGTATGGCAAGACTGTACCGCTTTGCAGTGCACTTTGCACCCGTTGCCAGGAACGTGCACGCACTCTTGCTGCGGCACGGGACAAATCCGCGGCGGAGAGCTCCTTCAGTGCCCAACTAGGCCCGAGCCTTCCGGCAATTAGGGATTTGGGATTTAGCGCCCCTGTCACCCGTCAGACCTACTTTCTTAATAAGGAACTATATGTAGAAACCATAACAATACGGAGGCCTCAAAAGGTAGGTCTAGAGGTAGGGCCCCTGTACCGGTAAAGGATTATGCACTGACGTTTAGTGCAGCTTAGGGTTCGGGGCACCGTCAAGCTCGGGTGCGATGGAATGTTGTAGATACGTGGGGTTGTGTACCCGTTGGTAAACGGAGGTTTATTCAGCGTCTCGAAGTTGCTGGACTTTGCCCCTAACCCTAAACTATACCAGGACCCTTAAAAAGCCTACCTTTCTAGGGCCCCTTGATATGATTTCTTTATATAAGTCCCTAACAAGGGGGTAGGTGATGTGGGGTTTTCAGGTAGGGGCTGTAAGGTACTGCGACACCTCAGTCTGGGACCCATGGAGCAGACAGGTAGGGCTTAGAAGGGGGCTCGGGCTCAGGAAGGAGTTTCCGAAAATCAGGGGTACTTTTTTGGGGGTCCTTATAATAAGGATCCTACTATATTTAGGGTACTATATTAGGGTCCACTGTTTTCGAGGAGTTTTGTGGTTCTGGCTCAGGGCCGAGGTTCCGGACGTATGGTTTTTAGGGAGCGGAGCTTTAGGGCCTGGCACTCCGAGGGGATAGCTGCAAAGAGTATACCTCAATCTTTTACATCTACGTAGGACTAAATTAAGAATCCTGTATATTGTCTATATTAGGGTAACAAGATTATTGCCGCCTGTCGTTTTGAGAGCCCTCCCCAAGACACCAAAATCCTACAGCCTAACCCCGCCAAGCCCTACACTCCAAAGCCCTCAAAAACTTGAAGCCCTCGAAACCGTAAAGCCCTCAAAACCTAAAGCCCCCAAAACCCTAAATTGGCCACTCAAACCCCCTCACCCCACCTTAAATCCTCAACCCTAAACCCTAAGCCCCAAACCCTAACCCCTAAACCCTAAGCCCTAAACCCTAAACCCTAAAACCCTAAAGCCCTAAACCCCTAAGCCCTAAACCCTACACCCTTTCCAGGTTCTCCGATCACCAGATTCGAGCGGCGTCGCTACCGAATGCGCCGCTTCTTAGGAAGCCCGGCCTTCGAGGACGAGACATTGGGGGGGGGGGGGGGGTTGGTTGGGGGTCTTCAGGGGGCTTAGGGTTTACAAGGAAAGGTACGGGTTTATAGGTAGGGTTTACAAGGGAAGGTAAGGGTTTATGAGAGGTTTGGGGGTTTTGGTTGGGGGCTTAAGGGTAGGGTTTACAAGGGTAGGTAAGGATTCAACAGGGTTTATAGAGGTTTGGGGGTTTTGTGGGGGCTGTTTACAAGATAAGGTAAGGGTTCAGAAGGGTTTTTGTTTAAGGGTTTATAGGGGTTTAGGGGTTTGGGGGTTTGGGTGGGTTTTGTTGTGGTTTTCAGGGGGGCTTAAAGTGGTTTTACAAGGGAAGGTAAGGGTTCAACAGGGTTTATAGAGGTTTGGGGGTTTTGGGGTTTAGGGGCTTTGGTTCGCAAGGGAAGGTAAGGGTTTATAAGGGTTTACAGGGGCTTAGGAGGCTGGGGGGGGGTATAGGACTTATGTTTTGGGGAGGAAATCGGGTTCGAGGAGTCTTCTTATTTGAGCGCGGGGGGTTCAAAAGAGTTGAGGGTTCCGCGGAGTCACCTTTATCGAGAAGGGCTTGGGTTCTCCGTTCACGTCATTTTGTGTGGTCGGTAGCACCTGTTACGGGACCCTCCTGTATACCCCTAACACTACACCGCAACACCACTCAACCCTGAATCCCTTCAGTCATCCCAACCCAAGCCTAAAGCCCCCGATCCCTAAGTTCTCCATTCCTGAAACCCGGTTTTAAGCCCATGAGTCCCCTGTGTCGGGAGGTCTTCGTCGGCTGTCTCGTTGCCTCCAATGCGGTCATAATCGGCATGGAGGCTTTCAGTTGCATGAAGAGCAGTACCCAGCACATGCCTAGCAGAGTTGCATCATGCCCCAAAACCCCAGACGCCTAAAGACCCTTCTGAATCGGGTGAGAAGCGTCGAATTTGGTGGTTCTCCGAAGGCAACGAAGGAATCGATACAGTAAGCTGATACTGTACGGCTACCTTACATAACATTCCTTTATGCACCGCTCACATACTAAGCAGCGTATGCACACCAGCACGTGTCGAGCTACGATTATGCCTTTACATCAACATGGGGGCCTTCTAGTAATTAGAACAAGGTTTCGGGGCCCATTATACTATAGTTTTAGCATGGAACCCCAAAATAGTATTGGTAATTATTGAGGACCCTATATGACCGCCCCCCAAAACACAGGTGGAGCATCTGGCCCAACACCTCACGGATCTCTCACCAGCCACTCAAAATGCAAGGGAACTCTGCAGGGCGGCGAATGAGGGAAAGGAGTTTACGGCTTCGGAGCCCTTGGGGCCTTGGGGTTGTCGGGATTAGGAGGGCATTTTCAGGGTGGGGTGTTAGGGTTCAGGGTTTGAGGCTGTTCTGAGTCCGAGCTCGTCCTTGCTCATGCCATGCATTCTGCGAGGCTTGTGCGGGAAATCAAGTCGGATCTGTAGAGAGCCTGTGAACGGAAGGAAGTCGTATAAGGCGCCGGATGATTTTAGGACGTGGCCGTTCGTGGCATCTTCTTTCGCGGGGGTTGCCTCTGTAGCATGTCCCAAGGCAATTTCGGAGTCCTCTGACCATCACGTCTGAAGACTTCCTAAGGAATGGTACCAGTGGGTGCACTTGATGCGGCTCAGTTGCATTGAGATGCCTCCGTGAAGATCGTCACCTGCATCTCCAAGAACACACTCCACGAAGAAACCCAAGGCAGCTGTAGCCACAAGAGTTAGCGTCACCAACAACATGACAATACCCGGAGTTGGAGCGACGAAGCAGGTCCGGTTATGAGCGAGCGAAGTGTTCAGCTTCTGGGTGAGGTGCTTGATGCGGCCTGTACTGGCTCGTTGTGATATCCTTTCATATGAAGCGAAGACAACGTTTAATTCGGGATTCGCAGGGCTTCCCTGCAGAATTATCGCATTTACATACCCCACACCGTCATTCCAAGTACTCATGGTCCATATTGCATATCCGGCCCCCATGGTAAGCAAACTGGTTTTCTGATGTGTTGGAAGCTGAACTCGAGCATTGCTGGGACTCCCAGCATGTCTCCGATGCCATGCTAGAACATACTTTAAACCTCCTGGAACCTCAACAGACCTACAGTTTCAGCCTCTTTATGATATTTGAACATGCCACATCATCGAGCCTTCCGCAACTTTGCCTTCAGATTTGGATTCTTGTGGGCTAGAGTGTTCCAGAATTGCGGAGTCAGAACTCGAAAAGAGTCCATGGTGCAGGGTTCAAGGCATAAGTTCACAGGTCAAGGTGGAGGGCTTCTGGCTTAGGGCTACAGATTGAAATCCCATATGTAGGGTAGAAGAAAGACTTCCGTCAGGGGCAGGTAAATTGCAACGGATATCCCAAACTCTGTAAGACGAAACTGTAGACCTATAAACGCTGAGACAAATCTAGAGGTCTTGAACCCAAGGTATGCTGTGGTCTTCACAGTTGAGCTGCTCCTCCGCATTGGGTCCTATGGCGTGCATATCTACAGCGATGTCGAGCTGCGCCCTGGCTGCAGACGTCTTCGTTAGTTTCAGCGGTGCCTTGTAACACATGTCAGTCATAGGATGTGTAGGATTTTTAAGGCATGGGCTTTTCGGATTCTGAAGGTGGTCGGGCTTGTAATTCTTGCAATTTCGGCTTAGAGGTAGCGATCGGTACCCAGAACCTTAGCAAGACCTAGACGAGCTTGGTGGTTTAGGGCTCAGTTCAGGTCTCAGGTTCAGAGGTTAGGGCTTAGGTTCGAGACCAAACTGTGAAAACCCTGCTCAGACCAGGGTCTCACTTTGGGTACGGCCCCGACTCAGCAATAGCTGAATCATCTTCAAAATATAGATACGTTAGGACCTTATTATTAATGGTAGCCCTATTATAGACTATTACTGTATGGGGGCAGTACCTAAGTCTTAAGTCCCACTTATGGAACTCCATCGACCATCCCTCGTCGACCATGAACCCAGGGTCTGGGAAAAAATCCCTGAAACCCCAAAAAGCCCTGAAACCTCAAACAAGCCCTGAAATCCTAAACCCCACGCCCCCTCAAAACCACCTACTGTACTGTAACAACCCGAAAACCCCAATCAGGCCTAAACCCTAAACCGCAAGCTCTCTTCTAGAGCCCCTTCAAAAAAGCCCCCTACACCCTAAACCGCCAAAGAAAGCCGTCGTCTTCTTGCCCTGGAGGTTCCGCTGGGCGGCCTTAGACTTTCTCATCGTCGAAGCTCAGCTGCCTTTCTCTCTAAAAGGGAGTCGTAGGCTTTAGGGCTTACAGTAAAGCCCATAAAGTTGGAAACCGGGTTAAGGCCAAATAGTGGTAGGATTCCCTATACATTCCTCTTAAGGATTGAGGCTATTGCGTTTCCAACTTTTGGGCTTCTACTGTAGGGGGTTAGGGTGTTTTAGGTGTTTAGGGGTTTAGGGTGAGTCCATAGAGTGGGGTTGCTTGGTATGTTATCCACCTGCAGAAATATGCCGCGCATGTAACTTCGATGGTTTCGGATATCAACGTCATTGAAGGATTGTTGTCTTATTATACGGTTGATATTCAGGAGGTGGTGGCTGAATGCAGAGCAATGCCCCGACCCTACCAAGACTTCTTAGACCTTAAACACACGAGCCTTGCACCATCTCCAACTACCCTGAAAACTGGAACATTCAAACCCTTACGCTCTAAAGCCATCGTCGAAAAGCCGAACAGGTGTCCTCGTGGGTGGACTTGATCGCCCAGTGGTCGGCGACGCAGGCGTCTTCAGAAGTCTTATGCTACAAACAACAACGCACAAAACAAATAACTAAGCCGTTGTGGTTGCTGCGTGGTGTTGTTATTGTGCTTGTTCTTCTTGTCATTGTTATTGTTATTGTTATTGTTATTGCTATTATCTTGCTATTCTTCTTGTTGATGTTCCACGAAAAAAAGAGCAGAAGCTGAAGCAGCCGTACTCTTAGAGCAGAGGCACTTGGTAAGCTTCGTGGCCTGAGATATTCTTGTGTGTCGGACTTTAAAGAAAAAGGTGTCTGGCTGGGTTCAACCGAGCTCTCTGAATGATTCGACCAGTTTTCGTTCAGGTGTTTGTCGATGGGTTTCTTCAGTGGGCGTTGCCACATAGGGTGCCCCCCCAAGCCACCAAGATGATGCTACACTTCAACAGGACCCCAAGAAACACCAGAAAACTGACAGGAATCCGCCATGACGGGGCTTGCTCCAGTCCGTGTGGCTCGAGTGTAGCTCGGCACAGCAAAAATGCTTCCGGGTTGGAGCAGTTGAAAAGTAGAAACTGCAAAGTGTAGGGTTCAGCCGTATTCAGCAGACAGCAAAAGCACGAAAGCTGCGTCACATTCTGTTCGCAGGTCGCGCCGTAGGTACGGTTTACAGATGGCCTGGGATTTAGGGTGCAACAATGTCATGCAGAATGGACAAGTTCTTGCCTCTGAGGTCTGAAATTGTTGCGACGAACAGTGTTGCAGACAACTTGCGTGAAGGTTTTTCTGCAACGCTTACATCAAACCTACAATCGTATTCCTTAACCATACGGGTCCTAGAAGCACTTGGCAAGTACTTACATAAGTGTCAACAGTGCTCCCCAAAATGGTAATCTAAATTAGCCCCGCAACTGCTCGACATGTTGCGGACAATCACACCTTTGTTTCCTGTAACGCGACTGAGCTTCTTGCTCTCATCAAACTGCTGGTGTTATGAAGCCTCAAACTCAAAACACCTGCCACATGTGTGCCGAGAGCAAACACACGAAGATGTGGCTCAACGACTGTATGGGAACGTCCTTGTTTTCATTGTTTTTGTTGTTGTTTGGGTTATGCACGTTATGATTAATTCTCTAGGGTCTTCCAGCAAAACACTTTCTTGCGTAAGTTGGGTGTACTCTTAAGTCGCAGAAAGACTGGGACAGCGCTGGTCCCGAGTTTCTCTTTTCAAGAGACCCCGATCATCTGAGGATAAGTTTGACTATGAAATCCGAAGGTATCCCTCGAACAGAGTAACAGTATGTCTGTTTGGTTGCAGGTGAGCACTACTGTAGGAACCTGATTAAAGAAACCCTGGCCCTAACTCCAAAAAATCGGCTTCAAACAACATCCAGGGTTTCTTAATCATGCTCCTACATTGCCAGCGCGATGCCCTTGTGCAAAGGCTGCGAATCACGCGGCTGATCCGCGTCACACGTTTGGCCAAGCTCATGCTTTGGCTGAAGGCTCGCCGAGCTGTATGAAAGGTCGAAGCCTCCAAAACCGAAGCACGGAACCCTGGGTCCTAAATCCAACCAGTCACCAGTCGGTTTGTACGACAAATAGCAATCCGTAACTCCTCCGTGCACTCTGAAACCGTCGGAGGCGCTCCGGACGCTTCTTTATTCGGTGTTCGAGCCATGGCTGATGTTGGGGTTGTTTCTGGTTTCGGGTGTTTCGGGGCAATGGGCACGCGGGATTCTGTTCAGAAATTCAGCGTTTCAGGTCAAACCGCAAGTCGGGGTCCATAGTTTGGCCTACTCCGCGCCAGGGGGTCATTTCGGAAGTTCAGGGGTCCCTTCTCTTGCCTTTGGTAGGGAATGGAAGAATGATGGTAGTAGTTGTAATTGTGCCCCATGCCTCCATTCCCTAGTGACCAAAGGTAAGTTCTGCAGAGTTCATGAAAAAACGCCCCAGGTCACGCTGAAATCCTTGGTCTGGGCGCTGGTGCTCTTGGTGCTCATCATGTATGCGAGGGCCCGAGTTCTTGAGACTTCGAGGATGGCCCTCTCTGGGAGTTTCCGAGTCTGATTAGCAATGCTGCACTGGTATAGACCCTACATGACGAGACAGCCGAGCATACCCAAAACCCTACTGCAGTTGTTCAGGGTTCCATGCTGCATTTCACCCCTCCGAGGTCTTCGCCATACTCCTGACTCAAGCGGCTACGGATCGGATCCGTGAGATGCAGGTCCTTCTGGAAATGCTTTTCTTCCATCTTGGCGTTTAGCGCTTCTTGGGTTTCGGGCTTCGTCGGTTTTGGGCCGTTGGGTTTTAGCGGCGGCTTTGGGGAGTTCTGCGAGTTGATCTGGTGGAGAAAATCGGGACCTCAATAAGTAGAACAGGGCTTCGTGGGGTATATCATAACTACAGTTGTGAGTCTCTTGCCGTCGTGAAGCCTCGCCCCTTAAACCCTTCTGCATGATTCTAGTCCCTCTGATATTTCGTACGTTGCAACCCAGGGCTTCAACGTACTATATGTAGCGATTCAGGGCAGGTTGCCAGAACAAAAGACTCCTGATTCCAACAGGCTGAAACTGGAGTCACTGAGTTTCTGAAACCACCCACCACCTGGAACCCCTCACACTGGAACACAAAGCTGGAAAGGGTTGCAGAAAGGTTGTCGAGGGGCTTGAATAAGTAGCAGATGTATTCCTTGGGGAGCACCAAGAAATTCGTAGAGTACATAGCTCCTCGGCACCCTGGTCAAAGCATCCAGGCACCTCACGGTGCTAACCGTTGAACACCAAAGTTCCCTAACCCCTAAACCCCAAACCAAACCCTTAGAAGAGCTTGAATCCTGAGCCACTAAATCGGTCCGAAACCCTGAGGCAAGCAAGCCGGAAGCCCAAAAACGCACAGCTCTTAACTGCAAAGGATAGGCCCCCGCGGCCCACACTCCCTTACGTAAGCTCACCGTATTGATGGGCCGCTGCCATGGGAAGGAACCACGAAGGCGCCAGAAGCAAGCCTTCCTAAGCCCGGAGAACCTAACATCCTCAAGACTTTTAGGGTTTTGGGGTTTTAGGGTTTAGGGTTTAGGGTTTAGGTTTAGGGTTTAGGGTACTGTCCTTGAATGAATCCGAAACCGCACCGTCTATGAAAGTACAAAATTCCCAAGCCCCACCCCCCCAGAAAAAACTTGAAGCACGAATCCTTTACCCCTCTACTCAAACAAATGCTTGATAGCACAGCCCTTGCAAGGTCCTTGCGAAACCAGCCCAAAGAATCACAATGAGGGCACCTTAGATCTCCACTGTAGGCCATGCCGCACATGCCCATACCCAGAGAGCCCCCTCCCTTGCAAACCCACAGATCCTTCAACAGGGTTTACGGTTTAGGGTAGAGAGCCCCCTACCTCATACACCCACAGATCCCTAAGCAATGAAAGAAGGCGGCCCCGGATTTCGAATGGACAGACAGCGATCTCGCTCTCAAAGATTTCTGGGGCCTGGCATATGAAAGAGGGCCTGAGAATTGGAATAGGATTTCGACACGGGTTCTTCAAGTTAATGGTTTCGTGTAACATGGGTTAGTTTGAGGATTACTTTCAGGGTCCGATATAGGGGCTTTGATGTTTGGAATCGAGTGCATGTATTCATGTTCCTTTACACCTTGAGAGGATGACTATATATAAGGTGGGGTTGGAAGAGCGCACATAATAGAGCGGCCCCCATGATTAGTACAAATTAAGTACGGACTGTCCTCAGGAGTTCCGCTTATGACGAGTATAGCCCTATACGCCCCCCACACCCCATGCTAAGTAATCAGAAATGCACAGGAGCGCGGCTTCACAAATCAATAGTCCTAGAGAGGTGTGTAAGGTCTTCTACGGGTTAATGGAGGGGCATCCCCGGCCTAGTTTCGCAGCCCGTCCATTGACCCAGACCTTTCAATGGATCGGAAGACTGGAACCTTGAAGCAGGGATTGAACAAGTTGCTGTTCATCAGGTGGATCGGGCTTACCGGATACTGTGATTTATTGCTATTGAACCAAGCCCTTTCAACTGCCAGTGTTTGGGCGATGATCACGGGCTTGCAGAAACTGGAGCGCTAAAGGTATCATACCAATCTGTTGGCTTAGAGGAAGCAGCATTGAGCGGCGAAATATCTGGAGAACCCAAACCCTTCGACTCATTGAGAATCTTCCTTCAAGCATAGCTAGCAGCCCCAGACAAGTTCAAGTCTTCTTCTTAAGTAGTTCTGAGTAACTAGTTTCGGCGTGTATGCATTTCAGGTTTGAGGCTTAGGGTTCAGCCTTCATCGGGGCGTCATCCGAATCACCACAAGTACTTCGAATGTTTTTCCGCCCCTATCTGACATCCGAAAGCATGAACCCGAGGGCCTTCACCAAACCTTCACACTTCGTCAGCAATGTTTGGCGCCGGGATGCACGAGCCCTAAACCCTAAACCCCTAAACCCTTTAGGCGGACGGAAAAAGTTGCTCAAAAAAAAACCTAAACCCTAAACCCTGAACTAAAGCCTGCACATCAAAGCAGATCCACCAGGCTCCCTCGGCGACGCCGTGTGGCGACCCCAGGGAGACTCTGAGCCTCAGAAGGGTTTGGGAAGGATCCTTCCGTTTGAAAGGGCTTCTGAGGCTTCCTTCAAAGGGGGTCCTTTAAGGGATACTATAAAGACTATAAGGGATCTATAAGGCTTCTTACTATAGGGGCTTAAATAAGTACCAACAGTACCATGGGGGGTTCCTTATTATAACCATAGTCTAATGGGCCCCAAAAACCTACTCTAATTATTAAGGCCCCTACATTAGGCTTCCTTTCAAGCGGGTCCTTTAAGGGATACTATAAGGGATCTATAAGGGTGCTACAATATAGGGGCCTGCCTTAATTATTGACATGGTAATGTAGCGGCCTGAGAAAATGAGATTAGGGGAATTGCAGGTAGAAGATCTCATATTTCGCACAAAAGAACCGTACAGTAGTTTTCGGCCCAGTTTATGTATGAATTAGCTACAACATTGTTCCTCAATAAAATTAGGCTACCACGGACTTCTTCCCGCTTTTGCAGCCTCTTGAGACTGAGGTTCATCTAGGTTTTACAGACGACAGGAGCCGTTTAGGGGCGGCTGGAGGGAGAAGGGGGGTGGGTTTAGGGTTTAGGGGTTTAGGGTTTAGGCAGAGAACGGCAGAGGGTGCATGACTTTCTCGGCCAGGCAGGGAAGGGCAGATGGATAGCTTTGAGCGATCGGCGGTTATGGGTTTGTGCCGACGTGCGTAGCCTCCAGCCCGAAACTGGCATCTGCACCCATCATTACTTTCGATTAGTAGGATCCCGTGAACTCGTAGCTGTTCCTAAGGTTGTCAGGTTCCTGTCACTTTCCCGAAGTGCCCTACACGTTACACCCTCAAAGCCCTAAGCATCGAAGCAAGCGACAGAGCTCCACCTGAAACCCTCAACCCACCCAAAAGCCCCCCACCCTAAACCGACAGAGGTCCACCCTCTTCATGTCCATCACAGGAGGTCTTTCCTGGCAAGTTGCCGAGGCAGCCGTTAAAAAGATGTGGGGGTTTCCGAACATAGGGGACCCTAATATAGTACCCTAATTAGTAGGATCCTTATTATAAGGACCCCCAAAATAGGTTACCCCTAATTTTCGGAAACTCCCATGTTGGTGTTTCTAGGACACTAGGAGTTTGTTACTCGGGCAGGTTTGGGTGTTGCCAGTTCAGCGTTCCGGTGCCGAGGAATGCACGGCGTTGTCCCTCTCCCTATCCCCCTCTCGTTCTCTTCCGGTTCTGTTCTCTGTATCACCTGAAAAGCCTATGGGCGTATGTGTTTATGCAGCTATCTATCTGTTCTGCTATCGAGCTATCTATCTATCTCCCTGCCTATCATCTGGTAACCATCTTTGCGCATGTGTTTGCTAAATATGTTCAAGCTATACCCGTATGTCTATGCGCACGTTGAATCATCCGTCGGGTTTGGATTGGGTGTTCGTTGATCCGCCTTGGGAATGCCTTAGGGTGCCTAAAGGCCTGAAGCCCCGAACCCAAAACGCCACAAAACCTTACTATGGTCCAGAAAAAACCGTACCACAAATACCCTGTAGCCCAAATCGAGTTATATAGCACAGAAAGCCCGATAAGCCCCAGAGGCCTTCAAGAGCTCCCACGCACATGCCAGTGCCACAGGACCCCTTGTGCCGGATTTCGATGGCCGCGAGCTTACATCCGCTTTGTGATAGAAACCGAAAGGGGAACAGACCACTGGGCTACAAGGCACGACAACCGCCTAACCTGGCACTACGCCCTCATTTCCTAAACAGCAACAAAAGCTTACGCATTGCGAAGCTTTGGGCTTCAGGACTTAAACCGAGCTGTTGCTCGTCCCTACCACATGGGTGGTTGTCAAAATTAGGGTCCCTTTTTGGGTCCTTGATATAATACGGCACCTATTATTTAGGGTACCCAAAAAGGAACCATAAATTTTGACAACCACCCACATAGCTTTAGCGGATGGTGCTTCGAACTTCCCGGGTTGTTTTCACATCTTCAGGGCTACATTATGTTGGATATGGAGGCTGCAGTCTCCATTGTAGCTCCTTTTTGGGGTTACCCTCTAGGAGCCTGATATATAAATATGGTTAAACCGAAACGGGAACTGCAAGGGTGGAGACTATACTTAACTACCCGGAGTCGATCTTGAAACGCCCAGTGAGTTTGAGTTGCGACGCGGTTGCTTTGGGTTTGCGTTTCCATGCATGAAGGGGTCATCGGACTTGGTAAGCCGGCAATAAGCAAGGTAAGCAGAGGCGTACGCTGTATCTGTATATCGCAAGTTTTTTCAGGTGCTTTCATCCCCCGAAACCCTAAACCCTATTTAATCCGAGGGACCTAGTGGGTATGCAGAAGTATGGATCGGATCGGGACACGGACTTGAAGCGCCAAGCAGAAACATGGAACCGCCTCAAAGCTATCAGGCCTAAAGCCCTAAACCCCGACGACAGCCCAAAAGAACTTAAAAGCATCGGCCCTGGACTAAACATATTGGGGAAAATTTTGCCCAATATGTTTAGCCCTAAACCCCGACAGCCCAAGCGAAAGTAGAAGCAGCGGCCCTGGACTGGACAGCTTTGGGCCAAAAAATCAGCCTCCCCTTGAAACTCCACCGAGGTGTGGAAGGCCGCACTGGACGGGTCCGGGCTTGGGGCGCACCTAATATCTTGGGGCCTCAATAATTACCAATACTATTGTGGGATTATAGTACAAAGGGCCCCAAAACCCTGCCCTACAGTAGCAGGGTCAGATCAGGAATATGGCGCTTGACGGCTTGATGAAACGTGTCTTCATATCATCATAGCACATGCAGGGTTTGTTTATGTTGGACCGAAATTAATTCAGAGTTCAGTGCTTTGGGCTCAGAGGCCATCGCTTGAAGAATCAGGCGGCTTGGTAGGTGGATATACCAAATACCTCTGATGGGGTCAACAGTAGACTCCACTACAGCTACCTTGCTTGTGACCCTGCCCACTAAGTCACCTGATCCTGCAAGTAGTGCTGGTCCTCCGATCCAGGGTCTCTCCGGGGGTGGGGGTGGAGTGAGGAGGGGGGGGCGGTGTAATTGAAGGTTCCCCATGTTTGAGCTCAGCCTTACTGGTAGGGCTGTTGAGCATCTCATTTTCGGCAGCAGTTCTGGAGTCCATCAAGGATGTACAAACAAACGCTTGAGGAGCCGAACACACAAACCGTGAAGATCCGTCAGCAATTCTTCGTGCAAGTCCCTCAAAGTTGTGAAGAGTACATGTATTCTTTCCTGTAATCGGGACATGCATTGCACAACGGGCTGCGGCTGCGGCGATTCCGGACAAACGATGAAACAGGTGATGGCAAAGTTGAAAGTAGAACTTATTTGTGAGGAAGCGTGCTGTGAGACCGCCGGCTGCTAAAGGGGCCAAGCGGGGCGACTGCAAGGCTTGCTCGGCCGGCAGATAGGCAGATGCAGTGCTTACGGGGCGTTGCACATGTCGCCCCAGCAGCCGGATCGTTGACCAGGAGGCATTGTCTCGCCGTGAAGCACACGACTAGTGGCGCGCTTGCACTGGATCAGAGATCGTACCGCCACTTGTGTTCAACGACAGCGGAGGCCCCAAGCTGGACGCTTGGTTGGGGTTGGCCGATGCGACACTGCGGGCTTTGTATGTCACGCAATGTTTGTCCGTGCTGTGGGCGAGGCAACAAGGCCCGACTAGGGAGAGGTAGCATTGCAGCTACGCCTATCGGAACCTGAAGCTGACTGTTTCCGACTTCGACGCTTGAACTTGTGTATATATATATATATATGTCGTTTTGAGCTTCAAAGGGACATGCCTTGTCCACGGCCTGATATGACCCGAGTCATGACTACAAGGTTGAAAAATCTTGTAGAGCACTGGGCTGCGTTGTGACAGGAAGGCTGCACCTTACATCTTATTATGCGACACATGCTCTCAAACAACAGGGGACTACGACCTGGCTTCTTTGAAGAGGCACCAGGCCAGATTACAACCATGGCCGACTCGCTTCAATTGAGGCCCCAAACGGTTTCTGCAGTTACGCAAAAAGGTTTTGAAGTTGTGCCTGTTACATGTCCACAACGACAGCACACTTCGCGTGGAGAGCCAAGAGTCCTCCACGCCAGATTATGTCTACACAAGCATGCAGCTTGTCTGGAAGAGCACGCAATTCAGAGCAAGATGTTTTTCTTGACATTGGACCCTCGTGTCGGGGGGCTTTCTGGGATCGAGTACGGCGGCCATGTGTGTCAAGACTCTTGCACCGTGACAGCAATTGATGGGGAAGGTGTTCGAATGCACCGGAGCATTTTCGCCTTGGTTTCGTCAGGAAGGTGGGTACATCAAAGCTTTCCGTCATCGAGCGAGCACTATGGCCGTGTTGAGTTGCAGCGCTGCGAAGACGTGGATGTCTTGTAGCTGAAGCCCGTAACACGGATCGTGTGCATCGAGTTTGCTTGTAACCGTGAGTTAGGGTTCTGGAGAATAACGGACTTTAGCGGGTAGAACAATGCGAATGCATGCTTTCGACTCATGACAAAAACTGACAGCACACTGAGCGCTTCCCCGCCGGTCCCGCAGGTTTTGAAACATGCAAGCGGCATGCATTTGGCCTACTTTCACTAATCCTGGGTTATATTTTGCACTACTCCTGGGTTATGTTTTGGAGCCCGTCCGTAGCTGTATAGCAGATCTCCGCTAGGCCCTGAACCCAGACCTAAATCCAAGAGCATCGCAATGCTCACATTGCATTTCGATTCCATGGCTTCCGGGAAGTTGAAAGTTTAAAGAAACTTGCAAGATTCCTGGCTTGGGGCTTGCGCGTTACTCTTACCGTTTCCAGTTTGATGTAGCTTATTTCGTTTGGACATTTAGAGCAAAGTTGCAGATTGGGGTGGGTTTGTTTTGTGTTCAGTCATGGCAATTAACAGTGTTACTGATTCGGCTTTTCTGTTGCTAACTAATTCGGTTAGAGCCCCTTGGATTCATTTTGTTGCTTTCATTGCGAATGGTATAGTGTTCAGAACCTTTTTTTCTCGCCACCACTTTTTCCCGGCACGTGTGACATGCATGCGAGCAAGACAAGCCACATTCTTCGAAACCTTACAAAATAATCTTGGCTGGATCATGCAGGGGGTCTACTTCATGTACATTGCGTTCACGATTTTTGCAGTTCTAAATGCCCACGCCTCAGCATTCGCTGCGTGATTTTGTTGGCATTCTGCTTCCAATTCGGCCGTCCATAGTTTTCGCATTCCATGTGAACCGTCGTCATCCAACACATTATCGTGCGGGCCTAGTCTTTTTGACAGTAAACAGTCTGATACGTAACATGTTGGCGGTGCATATCAGTTCGGCCCTGATATCCGCTGATGATGACTTTGGAGGCAACGGCCCATGCTACAAGAAAAGCCTTGATGCGATGCCGTACATCCTTGACCATAATTACCTTTTGCATAACCGGTTGATCTTGCAAGAAAGCGGCTGTCATAAACAATGAGCTAGGTTAGGATGTGGCGCACGCATGTAATTTAATTCCTATTGGACCAGTCTCTCGCGCCCGAAGTGGCCTTAACAGGTTGCTCAACCTCCACTGCCAACAGTTTTCCTTGAATTGTTCCCCCAAAGCAAAGAAGTCTTCAAAAAAACAGAAGTCGCCAAAAAAGGTCATGACAGGCGTTTTCTGTCAGTCAGCTATAGAAAGCTCCGTGGCTGCACTGTGACTTGCGCAAGTCAGCTAGGGCTTTGCGGCATGTACTTGGCAGGGTCTGCAAGTTTGCAAAGCATTGCCAAAAACTCAGGTGCTCAAAGAGATCATGACATGGCAGGATCCTTGGCACAGCCTTCTTGTCGTTTGGTCGTTTTGGGTTTAAGCATTTGAATGATTGCAAAGGTTATGCAGAACGTGGTTCAAGAGAAAGAAGGCCACATGAGCAGCTCGGTGGCACGCGAGATGTTGCGCAGCTCAAACTTGCCCATTTCCTTCCCAGCAGCCTTGGTTGTTTACACAAGCGTGTTCGGTGGTTCGGCTGCTCCTGCAACTGAGGAAAGTGTCGTCCGCCTGACATGTTTTACCAAATGGTGCCCATCGCCTCGAAGCTCCCTTTATCCCAGATTCCGGAGACCGTCGGGCACGGGAATTTTATCAACACCGTTTGATCCATCTGTCGCTGCGAACGCGACAGGCCAACTCTTCGGCATGCTTGACCTCGACGATACAGGACTCCCGGCAGACATTCAAGCGAAATCATGTGCCCATAAATTTGCGAATGCTGAGCACAGGCCTTGTGGGTTTGTGTTTCGCATATTCGTCCAGGCGTCTTCTTGAAGTCTTGAGTGTGTTCGTAAGAAGCTTATGCAACTCTTCTCAATGTCCTACTGCTTGTAGGATTTAGGTTTCACCGCTCAGGCTCGACGGTACTGCTCTGTACCGAGTCAGGCGAGATTGTGTGCGTGTGAAACAGCTTCTCTTGACGAGTAGATTGAGGGCTTGTGAAACAGCCTCTCTCGACTCTTGACGAGTAGGCGGGATAACAAGCTGAAAAGATGATTGCTAGTCAAGACTCAACACCCAATTGGTTTTGATGGTTCCTGGTTATCACTATGGTTTAATGTACCCCCAAACCCTATTCTATTTATCAAGGCCCCTACATCATGTCGCCCACCCGGCCTCGCTGGCTCGGGTGGCAGCAGACACAGAATCCCAAAGCCCAAAGCCCTAGACCCGGAGCATTCAACCGTCCTACGGCTGATGATATAAATCCTGCATTTCCCAAAATAAGAAATATTCCATCATTCCCATAGTTTAGGGTCCTTAACCTACTGCAGGGTTAAATCATTCACCTTAGGTTCAGTTTAAAAATCAGGTCTCAAGCCTGAAGCATCGAACCTCAGGTCAGGCTAAGGGCCGAAACACCGAAGCTTTCTGAGGATCCATCACCATCACAGAGCTTGAGGAGCGACTAGAGGACCCATCAACGGACGGAACTTGGGGGCCAGTAAGTGTAGGCTCTAGGGTCTCTGTGGAGGGTGTAGGCTTCAGCGTAACGGATTCCCTTGCATTCGTTTCCGGATCCTTCTGTATGATATGTAGGTTTCCTGTGCAGGCTTCCTAGGGATTGTGGCTCAAGATCGACAGGGCTTCAGCCAAAGACTGCACATCCTAGGCTTTTTGTCGGAGCTTCCACAGCACAGGCTGGGCGTGGTGCCGTAAGTAGGGTTCCAATTTTGGCTCCTGCAGCTCCCTGATTCTCTGAGGCTCCCATGTAGACACATCGCTCGTTCGGGGAGGATGTGGGGGTTGAAGGCGGCTTGTTCGTCCACTTCGCCAAGCGGAAGGATTTGGATATTGGCAGGGGAGCAGGGCAGGACGGGTTTCTATTTCGGTGCCGTCTATGACGCAAGGAAAGCTTATTTCAGCCATCGAAGAATGTAAACCGGTGATCATGGTCCCCCAAAGCAAAAGAGCAAGCAGGGAAGCATCCACAGAGGAATGGATTCCCGTCTATACCTCCGCAGCGCCTTGCCCCTTGGAGGATCCTCAAGTGAGACTCTTCTTCGAAGCGCTTGAGCTCAGTATCGATGATGCCTGGCGCTCGGACAAAAATCGGGAGGCCCTGGCGACTCGGAACTTCACGCGGTCGAGGTTTCCGGATATTCATATGGGTGGTTGTCAAAATTATAGTCCCGTCCCTATTGTAATACGGCACCTAATATTTAGGGTGCCCCAAAAGAGGCCATAGTCTTGACAACCACCCATATAAGGGCCTCAAGAATTACCAACTCTAGTTTGGGGGGGCTCCTTGTTACAATTCTTATAATACAACTTGAGGCCCTTATGTTGCAGGTTCGGGGCTCCTCCTCCAGGATCGTAAGGGCAGTTAGTGGGGGCTCGGGGTGGCATGATGTGGTTCGGGGCTTGAGGCTGAGCCCTAAACGAACGGCCCTTGCAGAACCCTAACGAACCCGCTAAAGGAAACGCTTCTTTAAGCGGAGTTTGGCTCTAAACCCTGAGCCCTAAACCCGAAAGGAGCTCAAAAACACAAAACGAAACGGTTCCCTCAGCAAGGTGTGGACTTTCTTTATGCTCCTGGATGGTGACAGTGGCCAAGAGATCGCTACTTGTCTTCTCTGCAGGGAGAAGCTTAACGCTAACGGGCCTTTATATAGGGTGTTAAGATGCGTTTACTTAACGCTAAAGGGCCCTTTTTAACGATATGTTTTAAACTTTTGCAGCTTGCATTTAGAATCAGTTTCTTAAGCTGTCCTAAATTGCAGAGGTCTGAGTAATCGCAGCAGCGTAAGAGTATTTCCTGAAGGCCCCCTATGATGAATAGCGCATTGCATCCCCTGTACCCCTGCATATGGGTAGTTGTCAAAATTATGGTCCCTTTCTGGGTACCCTAAATATGATTTGGTGCCGTATTATATTAAGGACCCAAACAAAAAACCCTAATTTTGACAACTACCCATATAGGTAAACCCAACCAAGAGCTCCCCTGCTTGTCGGTGTAACTATTTGGGAGTTTCCGAAGATAGGGGACCATTATTAATATAGTACCCTAGATAGTAGGATCCGTATTATAAGGAACCCAAAATAAGGTACCCCTAATTTTCGGAAACTCCCATTTCTCAAGTCCCCTGATGTGAGTAACGGCCCCACGGACCACATGAGGGCTAAGTGTCCAAGGTTTGGGGCTGAGGGTTTAGCGTCTATCATAGGGATCCTTAGGGGTGTAGGGGGAGGGGGGGGAGGGGGCCTTAAGGCCCATAATAAGGACTAATAAGGCCGATTTAAGGAAATATAGTCCCCTACACCCCTCCCCCCTACACCCCTAAGGATCCCTATGAGTCTAGGTTCTTGCAGGTTCTTGTCGGGGTTAGGCTTGCTTCCCCTCAGGCTTCAGTGCTTCAACAGGTCTAAACATAGGGATTTCGCAGTGCCAATCCCCGTGAAAGGTGTCCGCTTACCAAAAACCATCAGATCTTCAGTGTTTTTTGAGATAAGCTCAACTTAAGGCCGAATTGTGGGGCTTCCTTATTATAATTATGGTATAGTGGGCGCCAAAACCCTACTCTACCGTAATTGTTAAGGCCCCTATATTATGGGTATATGGGGATCCAGCCGGCAGCGATGACGTCTTCTCATGCTGGCGGCAGGGTTGAGGACTCTTCATGCCGCGTTCTGGGCCGCAAATCCTAGCACAAAGCTCGAGTTCGAGAAGTTCTGCTCACAACCTAAACTTTAATGGCCCTAATCTTTGTAACCCTAAGCCGCAGTGCCTAAACTCCTAATCCCTGAGGACATGGAGGAGTTCCTAACCCTCTAACTCCTAATCCCATGACAAGGACATGCAGGAGTTTCTAAACCCTGAGCCCTAAACTCCTAATCCCTAAGGACATGGGGGAGTTCCAAACCCTAAAGTCCGAATCCCTTTATAAGGACATGGAGGAGTTTCTCCGAATCCCTTTATGAGGACATGGAGGAGTTCCTAAACCCCAAACTCCGAATCCCCCTTATAAGGACATGGAGGAGTTCCTAAACCCTAAACTCCGAATCCCCCTTATAAGGACATGGAGGAGTTCCTAAACCCTAAACTCCGAATCCCCCTTATAAGGACATGGAGGAGTTCCTAAACCCTAAACTCCGAATCCCCCTTATGAGGACATGGAGGAGTTCCTAAACCCTAAACTCCGAATCCCATGAAACCCGAAACCCTGAACTCTAAACTCCGTAAGGACATGGAGGAGTTCCTTTTCGGATGCATGCGTCTCCGCGGTAATGCGAAAGCCCTGGACCTCGCCAAGCTGATGCGGCTTGGCCTTTAGGGCTTAGGAGTTTTTACGGTCTTTGGGGTTTAGGGGTTTAGGGGTCTAAGGGTTTAGGGTTTAAGGGTTTAGGGTCTTTGGGGTTTAGGGGTTTAGGGGTCTAAGGGGTTTAGGGCTTAGGAGTTTTTACGGTCTTTGGGGTTTAGGGGTTTAGGGGTCTAAGGGTTTAGGGTTTAAGGGTTTAGGGTCTTTGGGGTTTAGGGGTTTAGGGGTCTAAGGGGTTTAGGGGTTAAGGGTTTAGGGTCTTTGGGGTTTACGGGTTAAAGGGTTTAAGGGTTTAGGGTTTAAGGGTTTAGGGTCTTTGGGGTTTAGGGGTTTAGGGGTCTAAGGGGTTTAGGGGTTAAGGGTTTAGGGTCTTTGGGGTTTACGGGTTAAAGGGTTTAAGGGTTTAGGGTTTAAGGGTTTAGGGTCTTTGGGGTTTAGGGGTTTCAGGGTTTAAGGGTTTAGGGTTTAAGGGCTTAAGGGTCTGGGGTTTAGAGTCTACGGCTTCAAAACGTGGGGTGCAGGATTTTGAGGTTGGGTTTCGTGAGTTTGGTGGGCTTATATTGCGTTTCCTACAAGGGCTCCTCTACACGGATGCTCTGGCTTGTCTTGCAGGTTTCGGGTTTAGCGTTTAGGGTATATCCCTATGGTTAGGGAACCCCTCTGAAGGGAGTTTAGGGTATGGAGGGGCAGCCGCAAGATCTTCAAAGCTGGAGCAATTTGCAACTCAATTCTTGCTCTTCGCCTTCCAGGCTGATGTAGCACAGCACAGTTTTTGACGTGCACACACGAGACTGCACAGGCCATGCTCATTCTGATTTTGATGGGGGCCGGTGTTCGGAGTTTACTGGGTTTACTGTATGTGAGAACAAACTGACATCCGCACACCTCCGGCCACGATCTTCTGGCAGGGAGAGGGAGGGAGAGAGAGAGAGAGAGTGGCTGCAACAGAAGTATGTAGTCGAAGCAGGTGTGGCAGCAGCAGCAGTTCCAGTGCAAGCACCAAGCACTGCAAGACTAGGACTGGGAGCCGTAGCAAGTGGCATGAGGATCTCTTTCAAACACAGGGCTGAAGATTTCTGTGGAAGGGCTTACATGTTCAGGACAGTTTGGAGGGTTTTTCAGCTGACATTCTAGGATTGCGAGGTTTTACGTTAAGGCCAGCTGACCCTTGGTCCTGCACTGCCAGGCAATCGCACGCTTGGCATCTTTGACAGCACTTAGGGCTGAGCGGTTCGGACGACTTTTGAGAGGGACAACTGAAAGACAGAACGTCATTGAGAGTTTCCGGGTTTTTGTGACCAGGATGCATGAGCTGCTGCAGGCCTTCTAAGCCAATATGAATGTCTGAGACTCGTGATAACATGTGAGAATATGCCCCATTGTCCATGTGTATATATATATATATATAGCTGTATACTGGCAGTGCGTCCCAACACAAGCGCCTCCATCGCGCTGTCCGTTTTGCCCAGCACTTTTCCACATCCCAAGCGGGTCAGTGAGGCTGGATTTCTCTTCGGGGTTCTGATGAGTGGCAGGCTTTCTGTTCCAAGGCTTTGCCGGTTTTGGAGGCTGTTTTTGGCATGGGTGTGGGAGCTAGGGTCAGCCCTAAATGGGGGGATCAACGGTTCAGGTACAAGTAAAAGAAGCTTACTTGACAAGTTGGGCATAGCGTTAAACCAAGGAACTTCGAGCAGCCACCTTGTGCAGGACTCATGTATAATCAAGCTTGTTCCTCCAAGTAGACCCGAAACCCGATTCCCAAACAACCCCCAAAATGCCCCAAACAGCCAAATCCATAATAAAATACACCAACAACTGAACACCCTAAACCGCAAACCAAAAGCCTGAAGCCCGTAAGAATCCTTCATGAACAGCTGTTGCCCTTCGCCGAGGATGGTCAAAAAGCAGGCCTGATCCCCTTCCTGATTATGATGGGTCTTGGGACTACAGCGGGCGCTTGAAGTGCTTAAGGCTGAAGGCTTCGGGGTCTAGTCTAGGGCCTATGAGGTTGGGGGTGTAGGTTCGAGGGCTGCTAGCATGAGGATCTAGCAAGAGCTGCGGGCTCTTTGGGTTCATCATCCGAGTTCGGGGTGTGGGCTGTTTACGCCAAGCTGCCGGCTGCTGGGGCTTTGGAAGCTCTGGTGGCCAAAACGGCCGAAAGCTTTGGGGGGGCTCCTGAAGAAAGTAGAGTTCTGCATAGAAACCCCCAAACCCCTAGACAGTTATTCAGGCTTGCCATTCAGGCTTCTAGGCTGCTTCGCTGGAAGCTCTTGCTCCAACCCTAAACCCTAAACTGGTCCAAAGCAGGCGGAGGGTTTGGATTTGGGTGTCAGGGTCTAAGGTTTGGGGGATTTAGGATTTGGGGCTGTAGGTTGAGTCGTTTTGGGAATTCATGTTCAGGTTGAGGTGAGGTTAAGCTCCTCATGTTGTATTTTGCTGCAACTATGTATGTGTGTGCGTGTGTACCTGCATATACATATGAAGATGTAGACGTGTATGTATGTGTATATATATATATATATATATGTACATATGTGTGTATATATATACACATACAGATACATATGCATGCGCACACGTGTATGCTCCATGATGAAGGCTGGGCCTTCACTAAAACCACGTGAGGAGAGCGGGGAGAAAGGGGGAGAATCCGAGGGAAAAGTGGGTAGAGTTCCTGGGGCTCCTTCTTTTAGTTCTAGTATAGTATACCCCCAAAGCCTGATTTTGAATATTAAGTCTATTGCACTCCCCAGACCAAGCAAATGCTCAACCCATCCCTTCCCCCCCTTCAAACCCTAAAACCCTGTAAACCCTCAACCCTAAAACCCTAAAACCCTATAAACCCTAAAACCCAAAACCCTAAACCCTAAAACCCTAAACCCTAAAACCTTATAAGCCCTAAAACCCCAAAAACCCTAAACCCTAAACCCTTATATAGCATAGTCCCATAGCGAAGTTCTGTGGCCCCCGACCCCGGGCTGCGCCCCACCGAATGCCCAAAAACAGCACCCAAACCCACCCACAAAAAAGGCGGAAGGATGCCAAGCTCTAAACTCATAAAAGCCCAAGGAACCCCTAGCCATTGACCCGAAAGCTCCTTAAAGCTCCAAAAACCCCTGAACACCTGAAGCTCTCAGAGCCCCAAAAAGCGCAAGCCCTGGGCCGCCTCTCTGAGAGGTGGATTTCATGATGTATTGCGAGGAGCAGCCGGGGGGCCCTGTGTGGACCTAGAGTGCATTGCTCCGAGCCGATGGAAGAAACCCACGGTAACTACAACCATGGGCACAATAATCTCGTGGTACCTATGTTAAATTATTCATTAGCAGGAATAAGTAGTACTTGGTTGGCGCATCGCTCTTCTTCTTGTGACCCTAAGGACGCGATAGGAACTGCGATTTCGCTAGCTTTGAGAGCTTGGAGTTTGGATTGGGCCCTGGGGGGTTTACCCGCGTGTTTAGGGTTCATGGCGGATTGATGAGGGGTCTGAGCAATTGGTATTATCACTCCAATCTAGTCCTCTTCTATGTGTATATAAAATATGTACATGCAACTGGACCCTTGATCCTCAACCTCAGCCTTGTCCCCTACTAAGCACCGAGGGCATGGCCCCCCCAGAGCCCGCAAAAGTCCCACCGGAAGCCTAAACCCTGCGCCGGACTCAGGTTTTCGATGATGCCACGACTGATCAAAGGCGACTCCTCCAGTGGAACCGGGCTGAAAATGTGAAATTGAAGATGCAGAGTTTAGGGGTTTTTGTTTGGTGTTTTTGGTTGTTGTTCTTGGTAGGCGGTGCATCTGCCGCCGCGCGGGGTGGTGCAATTCCTCTGCTGGCATCTCGAGTTTTGGCACTTTCGTCACCGGACGTTGAACTTTGCTTTTGCTTTCGCATCGCTTTTTGCTGTGTTTTCTAGCAAAAAAGTGATCCCGCCGGCGGGCTGCAGTGTGCAAACACATGTTCGGCTCTGCATTTCGCCTCGTTTTTGTCGGTGTTTTCCTGTGTGTGTCGCATTTCGCGTCGGTTTTTGCAGTGTGTTTTGCCGAATTTCGACTTTCTGGACATGCCGGCTTCGACTTGCATTTGTCTTTCAGCTCTGTGCGGGGCTTGGGGGGGAGGGGGCGGGGAGGGGGGGGGTGGGTGATGACCTCCATGCGAACGCGTCTTGTGTCTTCTGTTTCTCTTGTTGTTTCCTATGTGTCGCATTTCGCAATGGGGTTTACGGTGTTTTTGCCGATTCTCGACTTTGTGTACATGCCAGCTTAAACTTGCAATTTGTCTTTCAGCTCTGCGCAGGGGGGGGGGGGGGGGGGGGATGGGGGGGATGACGTCCATGCGAATGTGGCTTGTGTCTTCTGTTTCATTGGTTGGGTTACTTCTCAAACGCTACCAGTTGTTGCTCTGTCAACTCGTGCTTGCCGTTTCTTCTTGCTTCACTTTGGAAACGTCCACCATGCAAAAACCTCCAGTTTTTGAAGCTTACCAGCCAAAAACTTCCCAAATGAGCCTAAAAGTCAACATAAATCAAAGACGAAATGCACGGTATTTGCGACACTTCCGCAAAATCCTCACCGAAAAACAAGACAAAGAACTATAGAAAATTTAAAGTCCTATGCATTGACGAAAACCACGCAAAACTCGGTGTTTTCTAGCTTTTGACCAAAAACCTCCCAAAAGTAAGCGACACACCCCGAGAGGCAGACGCACTGCCTTCCTTGTTGGTTCAGGGTGATGGGGTGTAATTGCGGCTCAGGGCTAGCATTGCAGGGTGAGTTTTACGATCTTGACAATGATTATATGAAGAAGAAAAACATGAAGAAGACTGAGACTGTTGCTGCGTGTGCCATGTGCAGACTTGACCTGTTGGATTTGCAACTCTCTCTCTATCTCTCTCTCTTTCTGTCTCTCTCTCTCTCTCTCTCTCTCTCTTTCTCTCTGCAGGCGTAAATACCAGCATACAGCAGTTGTTTACATGTGCATTTACATGGCACTGCTGCCTCGTTTATTCATCTGCATAAGTACATCAGGGTGTACATGCAGAAGTATATCTATTTAACTATAGATGTATATGCAATTATGCTTATGTATGCATGCATGTATATATGTACGCATGCATGCGTCTACTTTTTGAGCGCAGCCCTGTTGCGCGTGGCGCCCCCGAATACGAGGCCTTTGAATCTTAGGGCCTGACACTGTCTGTGATTATGTAGGTTTTGGAGCGGAGGTTCATTTCAAGTGAGATACCATACATATACATATGCGTATCGGTCTATATACATAGTTACGTACGTATGTATGTACGTAAGTGGCGCTAGGAAATAGGTTGATATGTATGCAAAGTACATCTGTATGTGGAGTCGCAGACACCCTCCGTCTCTGATGAGGATGGTGTTGGTGACGTCGTCATCACAATCCCAATCATCCTCATCAGCAGCATGGAAGCCATCATCACCATCAGTAGCACAACGACGCTCTCACTGTCACTGCATGTCGACTTGCCTTGCAGTCCTTTCCCATTACGTGCGGTGAACGGCCGTTGTGATATAGCCATCCTACAGGTGCCAGCAAGCGGCAGCAAAGAAGTGCCCTTGTTTGACGGCCAGTGCAGACGCCCAAGGCCTGGGTGACGAGAGGAATGGGGGAAAGGGCAATTCAATGCAATGTCGTAGGCAGCGACACCAGAACCGTCAACACATGGCAGAACCATAGCAAGTTGGAAAGCCGAGCAAAAACGCATGCAATCACAGGGGAGTAAGCATCGCTGTGGCCATGCTGCTACTATCAACTGTCGTCAGGCACTGACAATTCATGCTGCACGAACGGTCGTAAAGATCGTGACCACAGCAGCTACCAGCAATGTGTTGCAGGCTACTTGGGTATCATCTCTGTTCGGAGTCCACTGTTGTTCTTACTGAAAGTACGAATGTTAATAATCAGTACTACTCTGCGCAGCGACGACGGCACACAGCAGATACGTCAGAATGCTGGAAGCACGCGGGCTTGACATTGCCTGTGAGGTGGGTTTGCTTAGATGAGACAGAATACTACACATATTGACGAAAAGAGCACGTTTCCCCAATAGGTGCAGTATTACTGCTCGGATTGCACAGATAGCAGACTTCATCTTCTTTGCGTTATGTTCGGAGGTTCCCAGCAATTGACACTGTGAAGCGCCAGTGTGTGCCTACCTGAGCCCGACGCTCGAAGACTACATTCAACGGAAGCCTGCACCCAGAAAAAGCATGCACACCCCGGGTTCAGTGTTTACAGTTAGACATCATGCAACCAAACCTTCAATGCCCCGCCAACATAAACTCCTAACAAACCCTAAGCGTTCAAACCAAAGCTTTATAGCCTGTTCAATGCGTGTACGCTGCCTCCTGCAATTTCCCAGGCGGCGCGTTGGCCAAGCGAAATACCATCAAAAGCTTCGCGGAGCGGTGGAACCCAGTCGCCCGGATGTAGGCTAGTATAAGGATCTTGGCGGTTGAGGTAGGGTGTTGGTGTATTCTGTTATAGTTGACTTATCCTTTAGGCACTTCAAAACTTACGCAATGGCGATTTCGACCATTTCGCATACCCCGCTTAGTACCAAGCCCCTATGTAAGCAAGCGTCTAATGCCAGGCTCGAATCTCAAGGAGTTTACGGGATTGGGGTGTAGGGTTTAGGGTGGCTACAGGGGTTATCGGCTATGGGGCACTTTAGGGATTTTGGGTTGTATGTTATTGTAGGGTCATGGGCTTGGAGGCTTAGCATGGTTCGGGTGAATTGGCGGGTTATGGGTTTCAATGGGTTTAGGGCGACAGGTCCTCCTGCCGGTTCCACCACCGCATCGCGTAGAAGCCACTGTGCGGGTTTTCTCGTCAGGGAGCCCGCTGCCCTTTACGCAAGCCGTCCGAAGTGCCACGGCATCTTCTCAAAACAGCTGTCGTCAATATGAGAGCTACCTCGAGTGCCACAGCAATCGTTGGCATTTCAGCCACCAGTTGTGTCCAACTTCCTTTGTTTGCTGTTGTCCCCCCTTCGACCGATGGTTGCTGTTGTCGCTGTTGCCAGTGGTACCCTCGACGATGATTGTTGATTGTTGTGCACGGAAGCAATAGCTTTTGGATGGCGCATGCTCTACTCTGTAGTGATCTTGCATCGCCATTCTCATGATGATGGGCCTGCTTGTTCTCATGTGTATATAAACGCCTAAACTCTCAACGATGTGTGCACGACTTTGCGTTAACCAACGGGGCTTTGGCTCTCTGATTTCCCTCTTGGGTGGATTCCGGTCGGGATTCCGACAGTATCTCGGTTGAGGCTAAGAGAACCAGCTTGGAGGCAAAACGGCCCAGGACTCCAGACTGCACGGAAGCCTGCACTACAGGATGTTAAGGCTTAGGGGAATTTCCGATGGTGTTGAGTATCCTAAATCCTAAGCTATTAAACCATTCTGAGTTATGGCTGTTGCTCTTGATGTGGAACTCGAGTGTTCAGATTTCCGTGTCGACTACTTCACACAAAACTCCGATTGCTCCTTCCTTATGATGAGACTTTCAAGTTTTAGGGCTACGGTATAGGGCTTGTACTGGGGCTCGGTGAGCGTAGGTAGTCAAGAGTAGGGCCGCCTTGGAATTCCGGAGTTGGCCAAAACCTTCGAAAAGCGATAGGACCCCAAGGGGGTTTAGGCAGGGTTTCGGGCACGATCAATCAATCTACATCATATGTTGTTTTGGTTCATTACTGCCGCAGTTGTGCCTAAGTTTTTCGTGTTATATGTATGTATGCCGCTAGGCAATCTACACCGTAATCCATACCCAGCATATCGCTTTGTCGCTGCTGCGTTCACTACTAGTTATCGCTACGGTTGGTACTCTAACTACAATAGACATATTTGTTGATACTGGTATTGCTATTCTTCATGCCAAATGTGTAGAGCGATAGGACCCCACAAATCATCCATAGTTAGGCAAGGAGAAAGAAGCCATGAGAAGCCTCCACTTTTGTGGAAGAAGAACCCTTAGGGCAAGACCCCAAGAACTAGACGCGGAGTTCGGGGCGAAGTGTCGTACAGCTGGTACTTAAGGGTTTCAAGGGGAAACTATCACGGCCCCAGGCCCCCAGCGACCCTACAGGCCCAAAACTCAAAAGCCTGAAGTTCCGACACCTAAAACCCTAGCAACCCGAAGCCCAAACCTCGGAGACCTCAAGACCCTTGGCTTTCGAGTGGGTCTCTTCCACGCCGACCCACCCGGAATCGTTCTCGCAACTCTGGTCCCGGAGCCAACCCCGCGTCAAGGATCAGGGGACTCGAACTTAGGTAGGCGTAGCACCAAGCTCATTACGACACCTATATCTGTAGTAAAGGTATGGCAACAGCAATTATATCTCCTCATATCGTCGGTTACAAGAAAGGTATCTCAGTCTCCTCTGCTTGGAAGCCAACACAGGTACTCACCAGCATCCTTACTAAGTCCCTGATCCTGTAAGCGACGTCGACATTTCACTGCTGGAGCAAAAGAACAGAAAGGTGTCCTATCGGTTTAAGTTAGGGTCGCCAGATGCCGCTAGATGCAAAACCCTTCCCTAAGCCCCAAATTCTTCGCATGGCCCCGGTAGCTGACGTGCACGGGCCGAGGGCGACTGCAACAGTCTGTTAGGATTGAATAAAAAAGCCTCAAAATGAACCCTAAACCAAACCCTGAACCCCTGAAGCCCCAAACCCCTAAAGCTTACATCACCGCAGAGTCCTCCGGGTCTCCAGCAGGGAGTATGTCGAGATTTCGAGGGGGCCTCTGAACCTTTCACCGCGGGAAAAAAGCAACAGAAGTTTCACTACGCAAGGCGGTCGAGGTTTCTGGAAGGGTTCGAGGGTTTAAGGTTTGGGGTTTAGGGTTTGGGTTTCACAGTTCGAGGGGAGTGCTTGAAGGGTCTCAGGCTCACACGGGGTTGCTGTGGAGGTCGATGAACTTTTTTGGTGCGTTCTAGGTGATTTGGAGGGCTCGTGCCGATATTCAGAATCCTGTAGGAGAGCTACACTACAGTAGATCAGCACAAAACTCTTCCCAGAAGTCCCAGAGGTTTGGCCAAACCCTGCAGTATTATATGGTTCTGAAACAATTAGCAGGACCATCCCCCTAATAGTCCCTGGAGGTTTTGTGCGTGACTAGCCCGGACCAGCCCCTGTCAATTCCCGACTATGGCGCTTTCTGGGTTTAGGGCTTGGGGCTTTCGGGGTAGGGTTTGGGCTTCATCAACTCAGGGCTAAGCTCCCCGGGTCCGAGGGTTGATGCTTCAGGGCTTTTGGGTGCATTTCGTGCTACCATCTTCCGCTAGACGCCTGAAAGCGGAGGCAGCATGCAGCATGTTTGGACGGTGGGGTCGGGGCGCTTTCGGCTTCATGAGGCCTCCAGTCCCAAAAACCCGAAAGCTGAAAACCAATTCCCGGGCCCTGACGACCTCCGAAAGATGGGCTCCTTGCAGCGGTGGTGGAGGGCCCAATCCAGAAGCTGCAGGGTTTTGCACATCAGGCTGGAGGATCCCCAGAGTGAGACGGTCCTTTGGGGGCCTTGAAGCTCTGTGTCTGTCTGTCTGTGTGTGTGTGTGTGTGCGTGCGAGTTTGAAGCCGCTGCTCATGGCCCAAAATCTCGTCAGCTGCGGCTGAACAATTAGTCATAGTGTCCTTTCCAGTCCCAATCCAATATTCACTTTGGCCCCTGTGTTACCGCTTGATAGGAGTATGGTGTATGGTTCTTACTTTTGGGCATGCTTCTCAGTATAGGGCTTACAAATACAGGAAGCCATCGAGTTGAATTCGGTGCCCGTGAACGCACCAGAAGCTTGCGGCAGTTGTGCTTCAAGACGCCGCAAAGTAACCAACACCTCCCGGCATCCCTCGCCCAACCCTAAGCCCTGATAGAAAAGGTCTGAACACTTTGCAATGATATGGGTAGTTGTCAGAATTGGGGTCCCTTTTTGGGTGCCCTAAATATTAGGTGCCGTATTATAATAAGGACCCAAAAAGGGACCATAACTTGACAACCACCCATATATCACCGTATAGTCCGTCTGCATAACTGTAGTGTCGTCTGAGCCAACACCCCGTTCAGGCATCTGCATTTACAGAATATCAGTGCCCGTCGCTTACACCTGACATGGCCATGGATTTCGACGATAAGAGCATCGACTACATCAACACGTACTGCTCCTTGGCCTGCGATGCTAACCTCTGGTAATTTTTGTCTCGTTTGAGTCCGTCGTACACTGCGTGTTTGCTTGGGCTCCTGCTACCCGGTACCCGGATTTACTCCTAGTCCGGGAAACGGTGCCCCCACATCTTTGCAACAACTCTGACAACTAAACAAACTGTTCTGTTTGCCCAGACGGCTGTGACTTCGGATGCATTTTTGCATTCTGGTTGAAGACGAGTATAATCACTAGAGGCTAACGAGATTTCTAGCCAAGTTCAGATCTTAACGTTTTCAGGTCTAGGATCAACCCCAATCTCCTTGCAACTGACCGAGCCTGCAACCCTAACCCGCAAGCCCCAACATCTACGCTTTTTGAGCCCTGAGCCCTAAGTTCCCAAATCCCCGCAAGCCACCAATGACAGCCAGGTCGGGACACTCTGGCTCGCAGCCTCCGATGCGACAAAGACTCCTCGAAAGGGAGGTGGCTTGGGCTCGCGTCCTTTCAGGGTTTGGGGCTACCCGTGCTTGCAGATGCTTATGCTCCTGAGGTTTCCGCCTTGAGGCACAGACCATGAACCTTGAGGGTTTTTCAGGCAATTCAAGTGCTGGTGTACGACGTATCCATGCTATTACGTAGGGCTGCTTAGTCTGTTTATAGCCATACTTCGGTTGATGATATAAATCCTGCATGACCCATAAGAAGCAATATATCATAATTCCCAGAGTTTAGGGCCCTTAAGGTAGTGCAGGATTTATATCATTAACCGTTGTACTTCTAAACTCTTGTGGTCATCCAGATTGCAACCCTGGCAGCGCCCTGAACGGAGCCCTCACAGAAACCCCATTCAAATCAATAAGGCTCCTGCATATTGACAATCTGAGAGTTTCGGCCGCCCTTTTTCATGAACGAACTGATGAACCAAGGTGTTAAAAACCCTAATAATTAAAATAGCCCAAGAGCCTTGCATAGTATGGTCTTTGGGCCCAAAAGCCTTAATTAATTAGTTAAATATATATATATATATATATATATATATATATGAGTCCTTAGATCCCTAGGGAAATCCACTGCGACCTCCGAGGATCTTGGTAGCCGAGCGGACGTTCCGTTGCGGTGACAGGTGGATCCTTCTTAGACTTGTTTTGTGCAGGGTTCTCTTAAGGATTCCTCTTTGTTTAACGGTTCCGTTATGGGTTTTGTGCGTGGTTGTGGTGGGTTCCTTCAAGGATCTACAGTTCTGTTCTCGCAGAGTTCAGGAGCTGTTTCAAGACCTTTTCGGGTGGTGTCCTTCTGTGAAGGATCTTAGTGCTCAGTTTCACCGATACTGAGTACGCTTACATGGTCAGGGATCCTTATCATGGTGGTTCTCATATAGTCCCTACACAGGCAGACAGGTTTATCCCCCGTTCATATTGACCTCTTGGTTCATTGATGTGGATGCTATGTTCTTGGTGCAAGCGGTTGTTTAATCACGCTCTTGTTGCACTGTTCCTTGCCATGCTGGCGTGCTTCCCACACTGATCATTCTTTCATCCGTAATCGCCACCACCACCACCACCACCAGCAGCAGCAGCAGCATCGTCATCATCAGTCATCATTATGCTCATGGTGACGTTGCAATATCGCATGATGATTAATCCGAAGACGGCGAGTGTAAGATGAAGAGGGCAAGATAGTAATGACGATGATGATGGTGGTCCAGGCCGTGGCCATGATCCCGATGCTCCAGCGTGGCCAGCACCATGACCACCACCACCAGCACCACCACCACCACCACCACCACCACCACCACCACCAAACATCACCATCTTTACCATCAGCATCTTCTTCACCATCACCTGGTTTGATGAGGCTAAGAAAACAAGCGCTACCACTAACATCGAAGGTAGGCAATGCTCGTCATCCAAATGCCGAGGCCTTTGACTCAAGACCTCCGCCTATTTCCTGAACCCAGCCCACACAAAAACAAGCCCTGAGGGACATGGAAACCCCATAGTGAAGCCTTGTGAGACCTTGTAAACCCCTGCAAGCCCCATGACAGAGCCCTCCAACACCCTGAAACTCACGATCGCCCGTAATTGTAGTAATTGTACAGTAGCCCTTGTACAGGTACCCGATGCAATCCTTACAAGATCCCTCCTACCAAACCCCAGAGAAGGCTTTTCGAGGAGTTGCCTTTGCACCTCGTGGCTGAGTCTCCCAAGGAGCTTTTTGCTGATAGGGCGGCCTGCAGTACCCTAAACCCAACTGCCTACACTTGACCTATGGCCCAAAGGGCTTACCTGTTTAAGAGACTATATATCAAGACTATAATTATTAGGAACCCTAAAAAGGCAGGTCTTCTCGGCTACAGGGACACACTAAGCCTGACCATTGAGGTTTCAGAGAGTCCTTACGGACTCAGTCGTTTGAAGGCACAGGCAATCACGGAGCCCCTGTTCACCGAGCGCTGTGCGGAAGTAGCTAAGTAGGTAGACGGAAGTTGCGAGTTTCAGGGTCCTCGGGGTCAGTTTCGGTGTTGAGTTTCGGGGCTGAGTTTCGGATCGGGCCCGGGTCAGTTTCGGAACGGGCCCGGGTCAGTTTCGGATCAGGCCCGGGTCAGTTTCGGATCGGCTACGGGTCAGTTTCGGATCGGGATGTGGTCAGTTTCGGATCGGCCCCAGGCCGGATTCAGGTACGGAGCAGGCCTGGTCCCAGCATGCAGTTTCTGTTCACGACAGGTCTCGGCAGCAGGTCCCCCGCCGCAGCTCTCCAGGTCCCGGGCGCAGGTCCCCTGTCCGCCCCAGGCCACGTTCCAGTCCGCAGGTCACCCTGGGTGTGTTGTTGTGTTGGTGTGTTGTGTTGCGTGTGTTGGGTGTTGGTGTGTTGCTGTTCGTGTTCTTTGGTGGATGGGGCTGTTTGCTGCATTAGAGTTCTCTGAACGTGTTTGCATAGCTTGGCACGTGCACGGGCCGCCGCGGAAATTTTCAAGATCAAAAGGGCAGGAGCATAGCATGGACGCCTACCACGTGGGAGGCGCTGCTGCAGGACTGCTGCTTGGGATCTGGCTGAAGACCGGGAGCCGTGAGCCTGACGTTCGGCCCTGTGTGTGTCATTGCGCGGTGAGCTCTCCTGATCGCTCAGCCGGGGAAGGTGCCTGGTTGTGGCTAGTCTGTCTCGGGCTGGCTGAGCTTTTGGCGACCAACTTGGCCTGGCTTTCAGGGTCTCTTTTCGCAAGGACGAGGCTGGGCTCCAGGAGTTCACTTTTTCGGTGAAGGGAAAGCCTGGGAAGCGCGTCTACGGCGTCCCCAAGGGCCTACAGATCGCTGAACAGTGAGTCCAGGGCACGATGCAGTCCGGTGAGATAGTCTATCTTCGTTATCATGGAGATCCCGGGGTGATCCACACCCGTCTGTTGGTGGACCAAGTGCAGGGTGATGAGTGGGTGATCGTCACCCCTGATCACGACATATATGTGGAAGAGCCTGCCCGGCACAACCCCGACATTCAATACATGTGGCACTCTCCGGATGGCAGGCTCGCTCGTGGAGTTCCAGCCAACCAGGTTTACGGGTTTGCACCAATGACGGCGGCCCAGTATGCAGCAGTGATGCGAGCTGGGCGGTTAGAGTTTGATGCGGAGATGACCAGACGCGGGCTTGGAGCGGCTGCGGTCGCCGCAGGAGCCCCTGGCGCTGGAGGTGTGCCGGTCGGAGCCGGTGCAGGTGCTATGGTGGCAGCTCCCACAGCTGCTCCAGCAGCCGTGGTTCAGCCCGTTGCCGCGCCCGTGGCACAGCCCTCGAATGCTGCCATCGCAAATGCTGGACCAGGCGCGAGCGACCTCACAGGGAGAGGCCTAGTGTGGGTGGCAGCAGAAGGGACAGCGGCAACAGTGTTTGGCGAGGTGATTGCAGGCATAGTGGCACCAGCCGTCGAGGGAGCCAAGCTAGTCCACCGAATGCCCGATGGCAGTGATCTCTTCTGCATGTGCATCAGCGAGGCCTCCCCCCTGGCTTTCAACAGTCGGCCGGCCGCATGTGACGGTCGTATCCTGGCCCGAGGCTTCAACACCGTGGGGCAGCCAGAGCGACCGCTTTCGGAGGTGGTGGCTGCTTCGACGGAAGTTGAGATGGGTTGGAAAATAGCCGGCCCACGAACGGGTGCTTGAACTACCTCATGGCAGAGGGGCTTGGATTCGAAGCACACCATGAAAGATTCAGACAGCTCTGCCGCATCGATGCCGGTGGTTGGGGGGTCCAGGGGCACTTTCAGACCAGCATGTTCCTTCGGCAACTGATCCAAGTTGACCAGGTATAGATGCTTGCAACTGCTACGGGGTGGAGCTCATGTTCAGGCGGGTCCAGACAATCGAGTACGCTCACTCAGAGAGGGCCCGGGAGATCGAATCGAAGACGGTCGGAGGCAAGCTCAGCTTAGAGGAGCAGTACACTTTCGATTCTTTGGTTCGGCAGGCCGGGACCTTAATGATCGCGCCATCCTTGCTGGAGCATGTGAAGCAGGAGGTGGAGCGCGACGCGCAGCTCTCGAAGAACCTCAGGAAAGCCCGCGAGGAGCGGGACCTGGCCAAGAAGAAGGGTGGTGGAAACCCCTGAGCTGGGCTCCGCCTGCGGCTGTTGGGGGTGCATCGCAGGCGGCTATGAGAACTCCCTTTTTATCTGGCGACGCACGTCGCGTCCCCAGAGACATTTTTCCTTTGCCGGTGCCGGCAGCTTCGTTCGACGGCGGCTTTGACGGTTCAAGGCGTGTCAAGCGCCGCCTGTTTTGGAACACATTCGAAATTCGGTGCATCTTTTGGGGGCTCCCGATCAGGAGCTCAGTGGTCGAGAGGCGCTTCGGCAGCTTCACGGGTACGGGGAGGACCAAGCCCCGCCACTCGTCGCCTCGTACGAGCCCAGCCTTCTGCCTCTCCATTCGCTTCTCGGAGGCGATGGGATGAACATCGTTGAGGACTTCATCTCAACTCGGCTTTTGCAGAAGAATGAGGCCCTGCACAATTTGCGGAGGACTGGGGTGGTGAAGTGCTACTCGGACCCCCGACTTTTGGAGGCCCGGGTGTATCGTGATTTTGTTCGGCGGCTTTGGGATGGTGGCCTCGTCGAGTTCACAGTTGAGGAGCCCGTGGAGAAGGTCGAGGCTTTCTTTGTGCGGAAGAAGGACGGTCGGCTTCGGATGGTGGTGGATTGTCGGCGGTCGAATGCCTGGTTTGCCCCTCCTGACAAGGTGAATTTGGCGACGGCCGAGGTTCTCAGCCGCATCGACTTGGGTGGCACGGACCGCGACCTCTACATTTCCACTGCCGACCTGAAGGACGCCTTCTACCACTTCGAGCTCCCTTCTCAGCTTCGGCCTTATTTCGGTATGCGGCCCCTATCTGCGGCCGACCTCAGCATCAACGCTTTGGGCGGTAAGACTTTGCGAGCGTCCTCCTTGATTTTCCCGCGCCTGAAGGTGTTGCCGATGGGTTGGACGCACGCCTTGTGGTGGTGCCAAAACATCCATCAGCGGGCCGTGGCGAATGTTGGGGCCACAGCCGAAAAGTGCCTCGAGGATCGCGCCTCGGTACCGTCTCCGGAGTGCATGCACTTAGAATATGTCGACAATTTCGTGTGCATTGGCACGGCCAAAGATCAAGTCGAGGCACTTGCGGCAGCAGGGGTGCAAGCCTTGAGGGACAAAGGTTTGGTGGTGCATGAGGTTGAGAGCGGCGAGGGGAACATCAAGGTTTTGGGATGGTGTTTTCCAGGAAAGAAGCTCCGGCCCTTGTCCCACCGGGTGTGGCGCCTCATTGCTGCTATCCGGTTTTTGCTGGACCGTGGCACTTGCAGTGGCAAACAGCTCGAAAAGGTGCTCGGGCACGCAACCTTTATTGCCCTAGGTCGCCGTGAAGCTTTATCCGTATTTGGTGAGTCGTATACTTTTGTTCGTACCCACTATGAGCAGAATCATCGTTTTTGGCCTAGCGTGAGAAGAGAATTGCTGATCTGGACCTCAATCGCGCCTTTGCTTTGGAGAGATTTGGGGATTCCCTGGTCATCGGAGGTCTCGGCGGTCGATGCCTCAACGTGGGGCTTGGAGGTTCGCCAATTAGGAAAGTATTCGGAACGATGGAGGTTTGAGATCCCCGAGTACCGCTGTCCCCGTGCAAGTGCTTTTGGTGCTGCCGCTATCGATGACGATTCTGATGAGGCTCGCAGCCTACAGTGGGCCCACATCGGAGACGGCAATGCCAAGGCGCGGCCCGTACCCCTGTCGGTCGTTGAGGGCAAGTTGCTTTTTGATAGATTCGTGCCGGTTGCGCCCGGCCAAGTTGATTGTAAATGGCGTGTGGTGGGGCGATATAAGTGGAAGCGACAAGAGGGCATGCCGGTTCTAGAGGGGAGGGCATCTTTGTTTGCTGTGAAACGACTGCTGCGCAATGTGACTTCCTTTCACAAGCGGCATCTCATCCTGTCCGATTCTACCGCGGCCATCTGCGCTCTTGATCGAGGCCGGGGGCGCTCTTTCGGAATGCGCCGGGTGACTCAACAGCTGGCCTGCCTGTGCTTGTGCTCGGGCATCAGTGTCCAGTTCAGGTTCATCCCCTCGGAGTGGAATCCCGCGGACGGGCCATCACGTGGCTCTTTGTTTCCATCAAGCCCCGAGGTGACCCGTGGTGGTGCACAAGTTTGTCCAGCTGCCCAAGGCCGCAGCCAAAGCCCGAGCGCGACCACCAGCCAGCCGCAACCGTCCTGTGGGTCCCAGTCTGCAACATGTGAAGAAAGCCCGTGCGAAGGCCCGGGCCAAAGTGAGGCAGGAGTTCGGGACGCTGGCGGAGGCGTCGGTAAGCCGGGGTTGCAGGGAGCGGTACAGCAAACTGTGGAGGCGGATGTGCACGGCGGCAGGGCTGAGCGTGACCGAGAAGTACTCAGCCAGCGACCTCGATCTTCCGGCGAGCCAGGTCTTGGAGGACTTGTTCGACGAGGGGAGTTGAGCCAGGGCCAGTGCCTCATTGCGGCGATTCCGTTCTACCAGCCCCACCTTCGAGGCAGCAGAGGCGGGTTGGACCTGGCGAAGCAAACTCTTGCAGGGTGGCGTCGACTGGACCCGCCAAAGTCGAGGCTTCCGCTACCTTGGGAAGTCGCGTGCTTGATGGCTATGGAGGCCGTCACCCGCAACATGATCGAAGTGGCCCTTTATATATTGCTCGCCTTTGTGACCTACCTGA